CTTAACTGGGAGTCTTGTAGCCTTGCCCACTAAGTTCTCACTGCACTGTGTCAAGCCTGTGCCTGTTGCTGGTAGCACACAGCTCCTTTATCAGGCAGCGGAGGAATGAACAAGAACAAACAGGTGTAGTACACAACGAGAGCGACGACTGTGAAGGAAGGAGACATGACATAATCAGCGCTGCAGACATCGCCACAGAGGAGTGGACAAATGTACCGGTGAAGCAGATATCGAATGCATTAATAATACACCTAGTGAACGACATGGAGAGCGACATGAGGATGTCCAGCACAGAGAAGACAGGAGGTAGAAAGCAATGAGGCCTGAGGAGCCGGATATCGCGAATGAGGGCAAGTTGTGGAATGAAAACAATATTTCGTAGGAGGAAATATTCCGTATGAACCAAAGCAATATTTCGTATGAACCGTGCACAAAACGGGCCGAATCGCAACTTAGGGATCACGTAAGCACAGGCCATCCCCGTACGTCAATAGCCAAATTTGTCATTTGGAAAATTGGGGCTCCGCCGCAAGACGCGTCAGCTAGACGCCGAGTCGAAAGCGGCTTTCGACGGGCTTGTTCAAAGCTCAGCGCGGCGCTTTCGGCAAATTCCGCAATAGCCTCGGGCATCGCGAAAGCCAGGACGATGAAAGCCATCTCGAAAGCCGCACGAAAGCCAACTGTGAAAACCCCTAATAGGCACAAGCTCTCCCAAAGTCGCCATGGTTTCGAGCATGCAGGAGCTTAGAAAAACGTGTAATGAAATATGATAAAGCTAGACTTAAGATCTTAAGCTTAAGACCCAGCTGGGGTTTATATCCAGGCCTGATTGAATGATTGGCCACAGTCACTAATACATAGGACCATTTGCAAGCTCCACATTTAGGCGCCGAGTATCAACTTGTACTCTAATCTTGTCCCCTGTCTCCAAGTAATTAGTTGCTGTTCAAAGTACTGAAGAATGCTCGCTTGCATACGACTTCACACATCTGGAGTATCGGCTACACGCATTCATCGACATCCCTCATTTCGGAGGTACATACAAACCGCGTTGGGCGAGGCATATCTCGAGCCTGTACCGACGCACCCCGGCGTTACATGCCTCGCACTCAACCGTCCACAGGCTAAGAATGCCATATCGGTTAAACTACTGCAGGTACTTTTACTGCGGGCACATGCTCTGTGATGATGCGGTTCAGGAAGGGTTTACGCTATAGGAGTTCCACGAATGTCTGGAGACAGTTCAATTCGACAACAGGTGCGCACTTGCCCTTCACAATGTGTTTCACTTGTTGATAGCCCTTCTAGCGTGCGCGTGCTGGTAGTCAAGTCATCCACCCCCGGATCGTTCTGTGCAGGTGCAGATCTCATCGAGCGGCGCACCATGTCCAAAACCCAAGTGGACAAATTCCTCCTCGACCTTCGAGCCGCACTTACTGCTCTGGAGAATCTTCCCTGTCCGACGATTGCTGCCATCGATGGTCCTGCCCTCGGAGGAGGGCTTGAGCTTGGCCTGGCTTGTGACTTGAGAGTGGCAGGTAACTGAAATCATGTCTTGCTGTGTAGGTCTCACAGCCTGAGGCCCGATATAGGTTACTCTGTGACCAGGATCGGATTGCCGGAGACACGGCTAGGTATCATCCCAGGTGCAGGAGGAACGCAACGTTTGACACGTCTTCTCGGTCTGGCCAAGGCGAAGAGTCTTATCTTCACCGCTCGATCGCTCACCGCCTCAGAGGCGCTGGACTTCGGTAGATATCTTCTATGTGCGCTTATTCTGTCATTACAACCTTTGCCGCACAGGTGTGGTCGACTATATCTCGTCTGCGGATACTAGTGCGCTCGACAAGGCACTCGAACTGGCCGGGGAGATCGCCCAGAACGGTGAGGCGCCTTTGTTGCAAAGAAGAGCGCAGCATATTTCCTAAGTAGTCGCTACAGCACCGCTCGCTTTACGTGCAGCGAAGCAAGCCATCTCTCGTGCCCCCGAGCTCAGCTTAGAGACAGGTATATGCCTTTCCTTGTTTGGAGCATTACATTCAGCTCATCGGGGTGACAAGGTCTGGACTTTGAGCGCGCATCATACGAGCCTCTACTCAAGACCAGTGACCGCATGGAAGCATTGAACGCTTTCAGGGAGAAGCGTCCACCCGTGTTCAAGGGAGAGTAGCAATGCCTTGTGGATTGTGCATTGTGGACTGTATCAGGGTTCCAACTACGGATTGATTGTCGCTGAAACCACATCCAACTTCTATCTGCCTCGTTCCAAGGATCGCACTGGTGGAACATTGTAGCGCGTAGAAGCTTCGTACATCTCCCGGTGAAATTTCCAATGGTCTACCGTATTTGGCGCCATATGTGGGTATTCGTCGACCAGCTGGCCGCGAAGGCTATACACATGCGTACTTCATATGGAAAGATTTGTTGTATAAGTCAACTCAACTGTTGTTCATCACACCACGGAATGACGCGCATGCATTCAATAGGTTTTCAGTGTGGTAAGTCGTTGCCATGAGTCCGTGGCAGGCATTGCACTGAAGCGCTTCACTTGTGGTCGACACATTGCTCCCTTTCTTTGTTCGAAATCAGGAAAACTCGGGGCACTGCTGACACGTTCCAAATACAGAGGAGCTCTCGATAATCGTTCACCTTTATTGACCGCTCGTATTTCGTATATTCGTTTTCTCGAGGTCTGCATGAGGCAGAGTACCGCCCTTCCGCGCCACGGAGCCTCATGGCCGCACCTATAAGAACCGCGCTGGTTTGAGCGTAGGCCAGTATCTGCAAGAGTTTCTCTCAATCCAGCGAGCTCGTTACTCAAGCATATCGTATGTTCTCCCGCATCACGAGAGGTATGGAACGATCAATTCACCGTGCGTAGTCAATATCATTATTCCAAGAGGCCTGCTCTAACTCCTCCCAGGCCGTTTGATGGAACTACACGAGGATTCTATTCCCTCGAGCGAGGTCGTTCATTACATACCCTCGAAAGAGGATGTCGAACACGAGAACATTCCAGATGGTCCTCCAGGAAGTATACTGGAAGTCAAGCATCTGTACGAGGTATATGATCAAAAGAAGGACAAGTATGTACTCTGGCCGGCCCCTCCGGAGACTGCATCCGAGGATCAACGGGAGGGCTCGAAGTACGCGGTATATGCATTCTCGGTGGTCCGTCGCTACTCCCCCTCGGGCAAAGGGAAGACATACGACATCATCATATCACTTGAGATTCATAGCAAGCACCTCATCGAAGCTGCGAAAGAGGTCGTGGGACAAGTCCACGGCATCTCATGGAACGCCAAACACCTCCGCGTAGGTCCTCACGCTCACTCTCATCAATTTACTTATTTCCACCAGATCAATCCGCAAATTTTCCTGATGTGGCTGCATGAGCTCCAGGCTTACCAAGCAAAGCTGATCGTCACAGCACACAGTGCCCCGGAGAACGACCCTGCCCGCCTGAAGGTCGCGCACCTCAGCCACCTGCTGACCTACCTCACCACAACGTATGCGTCTACCCTTGACACATTGTCGTCCTGGCTCCGCCACGGCGAAATTACATTTGATCTTCTGTGGGCAGTGTATGTTCCTGGCAAAACCATTCTCTACACCCTTTGTCCCGTCACGGGCGAGCCGCGGGCTGTCCGCTTGCTGCATGCGGAACTCTTGAAGACAGTCCGAGGGTTGTTGACCAACGTTCACGATCCTACAGGCCTGACAGTCGGCAAAGATGACGACGGCCAATATAACGATCATATGTGGCGGTTCAAGGTGGAATATGTAGAAGCGGATGTCCCCGAACCAGGACTTCGAACAAAAACGACGAACAAATTCGGATATGCAGACCTCGGAACGGCGCTGTATATCCACGGCTTTGCGGGCGCGAGGAAGATTTCGAACTTGGATGTCTTTCCTATTGATTACTATGCCGGTCCGGGCGGTACGAGGGGTTTGAAGGAACGATTGATCAAGCGCGGCAGAAAGTGGGCCGCGATCGCTGGAGGAGTCCATCATCTTGCATATCAAGGCATGGCCTCATATTGGGAAGACAGTTCATACATGAAACTCAGTGTGTGTGTCGTATGAACTTTCAGCGGTGCTGAACGTTACCCAGGCTAACTTTTCCTTCATACAGGTGAAGTCGCGAGTAATGGTCGATCGCAGTTCGTTTTCATAGTCGTTCTTGTCTTCCGCACTACTTACTTATGGTCCTGCCTGGATGCTCAGAGACCTTTGCAGAAAGCAGGCCAAACTATGAGAAACTGCCCAGAGTCATAAGAACGTTGTCCGGATGCGTCATCGATAAACATACTCTCAGCACTAGTCTCACGACTTCGAGTGCTTGGCAGTCGACCACTTCCATAGCCGATCTATCAGAAGAGGAGTTGTTGCTTACGACGCCTGTAGTGTATGGTTTCAGTCTGTCCGACAAGCGTTGGCGTACGTGTATTTCGTCTATTCTGCGAGTTCTTTTGTTCACACAGCGGCCATTCTGACGTTTGATTACAGTGGAGTTTGCGATTGATCATGTGGAGGCGTTTGAATGGAATGAAAAGGTGTTCTCGCAGCTGGTCATTCCGGACCAACACAAGACAATCCTGCAGACGCTCGTGGGATCTTACAGTGCGGGCGCGGCATCTGGTTTCGACGATTTTATAACCGGAAAAGGCCTCGGACTTGTAATCAACCTCTTCGGCAATCCTGGGATAGGTACATACATCTTCATTTGGGGTGGTTTCCACATGCTAAAAAGTCGCACAGGTAAGACCTTGACGGCGGAGGCAATCACCGAGTGTGAGTAATAAGTATCAGATCTCGTATAGACGTTTTTACAATCTGACGTTGCTTACAGATTTGCGAAGTAAGTGACATAAGGCCGGTCTGATTGCCTGTGGTAATTCATACATCTGTCTATCTATCCAGAGCCTTTGTATGTCGTAGATGCTGGTGAACTCGGGACGACACCCCAAGGTTTGGATAGGAACTTGTCAAACGTGCTCAAGCTATCGGCTGCATGGGATGCGGTCGTCCTCATCGATGAGGCGGATGTTTTCCTTGAGCAGCGCTCATTGCATCACCTCGAGAGGAATGCCATGGTCGCTGTCTTCCTGAGGCAGCTCGAGTAAGCAACACCTTTCGGAGCTCACCGACCACATTCACGTACCTTCTTGAATAGGTATTTCCGCGGGATCCTCTTCTTGACTACGAACCGAGTTCGGGTGTTCGACGAGGCATTCCAGAGTCGCATTCACGTATCACTCAAATATCCGGACCTCACTCCTGATGCGCGCCGCCAGATCTGGGTGGCATTCATTCGCAAGGCCAACGCAAATCTGGCAGATGGGCAGCTTACCGAAGAAGAGCTGAGTGATCTGGGTGAGAGGAAGGTGAATGGACGGCAGATCAAGAACGCTGTGAAGACTGCTGGAGCTCTGGCTGCTGGGAAGCAGGAGGTTCTGGGCTATACGCATCTGGCACAGGTTTTGGACTTGATGGAGGAGTTTGAAATGAAGTATGCGCGCATGTTCTAACCTCCCTTGATTCCGCTGACAATGATGGTCTTTCAGTGATTGAACGTCTGACAACGTGTACTTGCATTCTCACGTATAGATTTATCACGTCTGTGATCTCGTGAGCGATGTATTTGACGCTTGCTTCGAGGTTCGGTAGTCGATGCTGTGCGTTTCTAGGCATGAGCCTATCGGCATTCAGTATCTACATTCATAATATTCATCGTTGCTTTTACCCTTTGATATACCAGAGGATTCTGAAAGGAAGGCCGAAAATTTATGCTGTCGGCAGGAAGGCATGGGATCCGCTTTATAAAGGATCGCTTGCTGCCAGAGGCAACTATTTCGAACGAAGTCCTATAACTTTGACGGAAATCGGTACTATCACAGGGAGCACAGCATACGTGTTCTGGCTTGCTGAATGGAATTCAAAAGTGCAGAGCCAATGTAAGATGCGTGTGGATATGTGGAAAGTGCAAGCTGTACGATACTTATTTCTGATCTGAACATTGCGGCAGTCAAACTTACCTGTTACTATTGCAGCTTGACGATATCGTGGAGGCCGCACCTGCTCCGTCACTACAGCTCTTCTAGCAATAGAAACAAATAGGATTTCTTGCGCGCTGCTGATCACCTTTCGTTTGCTTTGGGCGAGGACACCGTAGTAACACCGACGTCTGGCAGGTGTGAAGCCGTGAGGGAGACGTTAAGGCCGAGTCGAAGATTCGAAGACGGTAGGCACGCTGCTAAAGCAGCACTTCACGGCATAAATGCCGTTGACGATGCCCTTATTGCTGAACGCTGTACCTGACTGAAACTATTATAACGAGGATATAAGAGACGTCATTCCCTTGAAGCATAGTTTCTCGGAGACTGAGCAAATCATGTAGCATCTCCATATGTAACATGCGACCGCCGTATGTCAAATTCTTTGACTGCATGAGGTAGCATCAATCTTCGTTCCTCGTTGACCGACTTCTCCAAACGCAAGATAGACACGTAGTACTACACACTACAAATCAATGTCATTCTGTGCCAGTGGCGGATCCGCTCAGAATCATCGTGCGCGATTTAGAGACGATGAACGCAAATTCAACAGAATTTGAGACCTTGAAAGCTTTCTAGATCCACTGTATTCTGCGCACGTATTTTCAGAAAATATGCAATTGAAAGATGCTAACTTTGAGCAATGTTTGCTATGCGTGAAGAGGCGCGTGAAGAGGCTGTGGCCCCCCCAGCTGTGGCCTTTTCCTGTGGCCTTGCGGAGCGGAAATTGCCGTCTGCGTCTGAACCTTGTACAAACGCCCATGTCTCTGAGAGCAACTCCGTTCTCGAAATTGCACGCATGATCTCTGTGTCTTGTTTCTTTTTAACGGCTATCCTGGACGATACTTCGAGCGTGGAACAATTCGGAGAAGCAGTGCTATGTTCTGGTATATTGTCTCTACTTTTGCCAAGATCGTAAGTTGTTGTTTGAAATAATTTGTGCAAGAACCGGAAGCCCGATGGAGGAACCTGGCCAAGTCTGGTGATTCCTCCTTCGTTCGCATATCTCTGGACTGCACGATGAACCGACTACGACTAGCAACACTTTGCAGGAGTCTCTCTCGAAATCGGCTTTATTCTACAGCCACTGCGGATGGCACTGCCCTCTCGTATGGTGGCTCATCGTTTCCGTACAGATGGCTCCGCGATTCCTGCCAGTGCCCGAACTGCGTTCATCCCTCAACCAAACAAAAGCTACACAGGACGTCGGATATTCGAGAGGATGTCAAGCCCGCCCCTGATGGCGTAAGGGTCACCGAGAAGGGCGTGGATATTGCATGGAGCTCTGGACATGACTCACACTATGCGAAGGAGTTCCTGGAGTTATACGCCTCTCCGACCAAACTGAACGCGTTCCACAGGGACGAGGTCGCGAAGCAATGGGATGTTTCGGAGTTGCAAAAGGCGAAGGACTTATTCCTCCCATACGAGAGCCTGCAAACGCCCTCCGGTATGCTGAAGGCTATCACGCAGCTGAGCCGTTACGGTCTTCTTTTTACCACCGGCGTACCCAACCAAAAGACGTCCCACGAGCAGTGCGAACTCACGATACTCGCGAACAAGTTTGGCGAGATCCGCGAGACGTTCTACGGAAAGGTGTGGGATGTGAAGAATATCCGGAACAGCCGCAACATCGCGTATACCAACATCGATCTTGGGTTGCATATGGATATCCTGTATGTGGGTCGCACCTAGTCGCCGCGTCGATATGCTCACCGGGAACATAGATACTTCCAGGATCCTCCACGCTTCCAGATCCTTCACTGCCTGCGGAACCGCGTCGAGGGCGGCATGTCTATTTTCGTAGATTCTCTTCATGCAGCAAATGTGCTGCGTGAGAGCGATCCCGAAGCGTTCGACGTGCTCGCGAGCACGCCCGTCGAGTTTCACTACATTAATGATGGGCACCATCTGCACTACGCGCACCCGACCATCGAGCTCGCACCTCTGTCTTCGACCGATCCTGCACCCCGGCCGATTGCGCACCTCAATTATTCACCACCATTCCAGGCGCCGCTGCCGCTGTCGACACCGAAAGCGTTCTATCCTGCATTCGAGCGTTTCGTCGCACTGCTTGAAGACAGCAGCTCGCGGTTCGAATACACGCTGCGTGAGGGCGATGCGGTATTGTTTGATAATCGTCGCGTGCTACATGCGCGGACGGCATTCACTGGCGGCGAGGAGCCCGAGCAAGCCGGAGATCAGACAAATCGGTGGCTGAAGGGGTGCTATCTGGAGGCTGACGCAGTTTGGGATCGAGGACGGGTGCTCGCTGAGCGACTGGAGAAGGGTGAATGATCGAACGTAGGAAGCGGGCTGCCTTAAGACAGAAATGGTGCGCATCCTCTGCCGTTACATTATCCTTTCACGACCTGAATGCTTCAGCGCGATGCAGGTTTACTAAGTTGATCGGAAAGTATGAAGACATACGGAGTATCCCTCAGTTGAGCAAAAAGAGTGTTAACCCGAGTAATGCGCTGAAATCCATGTACTTAACGTTGTCTACCTGTGGATCTGACTCAGAATACCCAGCGCTGGGCCGCAAGAACGGGCTGAAAATGCTGATGACGATTAGACCACGCCTCAAAGGGAGCATTGACTTCAACGGATCTCTCGGAAGTTAAAGATGATCAGTAGATGTCCTGCTGCAGTCGTATACTGCTGACTGTTGCCAACTGCGCCTTCGTTCGCTGCAAAGTCTCCAGGCTCTCTGCCTCCAGCATAGGGATAGGACGTCGTCGAGTTTGACTGGGCCCTTGATGACTCTTCCTTCTGGAATCACTGTTTGCTCCGTGGATGATTAACTGTCCTTCCTCAGGTCGTGCAGTCTCCACCTCTTCTGAGCTCATTCCGAGGCACCTCAAGCTTTCTTTGATGCCATGGGATTGTTAGGGACTCGTGAGTCGTCAGGCCTACGCGGCGGCCTCAGGTAGCTCTACAAATGCCCTCTCGCCGATCAACGTCGCAGTTAATTTTTGTCACTGTATCCTCGCGCCATCAGCCACCTCAACTGTTTATCAAACCTTGGTATTGCGTGATTCTCGAAGCAACAGATGCGGCAACCATCAGATGCGAAGTGCGATGCTGTTGAGTGCAATGTAGTTCTGCCCCACAAAATGTAGCGGATTGCTCGCGTCTTACGCCTTGCAGCTCTCCTTGTGACCTCTTTGCGCACATCAGAAGTGTGCCTCGACATCGGAAAGGTTCGTTTGGGCAGGACTGTGCTTAACTTGCTCCTTATTCAAAGATACTGCAGGACCAATCTGTCAACTACGAGCACCTGATGATTTGCTTGATTTCCTGTGTATTATACCCATGTCAAGCTGCTTCCTGCATCGCTCCGCGTAAATTCAGGTTTTCAGACTTTACATATCTTGCGGCAGTTCGCTCCTCGCTAGCCTCTCACCCTCTCATCCTCTCTATCCTCCCCACTTTCTTTCAATTGTCCGCTTCAGGCTTTTTAATCGTCTCCCGGTCTGGTGAAATTACTGCATAGATATCCGATGTCCTTCGCTTATCCGCATTTGACTGAGACTTTCTCTCTCGTGCCACAAAGCTATGTTACGACATCATCCCCATGCGATGCAAGTCTGTATCCTGAAGGCGGGATATCTACTCTGTTTGTTGGAAAAACCAACTGTCCCATCTCAACCAACAGTCCCGCCTCCCGCCTGCAAACAGAGGTACCCAAGTCAACGCTGTCTGCATCCATTACGGAGCAGACGACACTATCACCAGTCGCATCGTCCTCAAGACTTTCTTCTGAGGTTCGTACGACGTCCATCGCAACGTCTGCATCTCGTACGACGGCGGCAACCATCCCCGGTGTGAGCACTCCGGACGAGACGCGCTCTGCCTCCAGACCATCGTTTTCTTGGATAGCCATTGCAGCTGCGGTGATATCCTTCGTCATGCTTGCCGCATCAGTCGCTCTTTGTTTGTGGCTGCGCAGAAGGAAGAGCCGAAAATCTCAGAAGTCTTCGCGAATCATGCCCTTCGGTGAGTATCGCGCTCCTTTGGCAGGTTTACATCTCAGTGCGCTAAATGTATTGTTCTTATTCTCTCTCAGCTCCCGATGCAAGGCCAGATGACGTCATTTCGGATGCCCTCCGCGAACACAGATGGTCGGAGAAACAGGCAATCACCCAAACACAGGGACTTGTTTCATCGCCATCCTTACCACCTCTACCTTTCCACGATGACCCGTGCATCGTACCTGCTGCCGAGACAGCAATAGCGACCAACTCCCACCGCAGTTCTTCGCCATCCCCCACGTTCCGCAACAGTTCCACATCGGATCTCCCGAGGCAGAACACGCCCGATGTTTCTCATAGACGGCACGCTGCTGTGTCGCTCACAGAGACTTGCCGCTCCATAGAAACCCAGCTGCCTCAATACACGAGTTCTCCATCTCCTGCGATAGAATCGTCAATGGGATTCCTCAATCGCGACCCGTATGCGTGGCAGCCACAAGCGAACGGCATAGAAGGGGACTCTACCAACAGTAATCATGGCAGGTCGAGCAGCGGTCAGACGTTGCCGCCTGCTTATCAGCCCCGACAAGATGTTTTTTGCGAGAGCGATGTGGATGTAGTATTATCCATAGAATAGGCGGATTGCCCGCGTGGATCTTCAGATATACCGTTACTTACTATGATACCCGGATCGGACGAGGACCACTTCATTCGGCAAGAATAATGGACTGCTGCTTCGCAGGTGTAGATGAATCATGTCGTTCGTGCATTTGGTACGATGGACGCGCTTTCGAGTTTAGATAGCCGTGGTTATGTCGTTTGACGACACAGAAGTTTTGAAATTTTGAAAATTTTAATAATGTACGATGAAGAATGAGCGAAATTGGCGAATGTGAATGAGGTCGGAGAAGGATGAGCTGTGGTATTCGGCGACGTACTTGCTGCATTTTACACATATGCTAGCACGACGGTCCTGCTTCGAGCATTTGTCATCATATCTGCCTTGGCTACTAGCAATGTATGCTGCGAGGTGATGTATTCTTAGGCTGAATTGGAAAGGCAATCAGCTGCCTTAGCGCATATAAGAATCCATGTCTTGACTTCAGCTCGTCTTTCAACGAATATCGAGCCCTATGCAGGTGAATAGCCATTCATTGAGCTCGTATCATGTTTAGTCAGTCAACGCAGGCAGTACAAGATACCCATGTTATCCGAGTCTAGAATGATCACCATATCGACGATCCGGGGCCGCATATAGGCTCACACTCGATAGTGCATGAACTGCCACGACTGACTAAACTCTTCGGCCTTTCCTATCATGAGTTGCGCCTACGTCCAGTGCAGCTCGTCACTCGAGACACATATAGCAGAGTTTGTTTCGAGACGTACCCTAGTCCCTGGGGTCGCACTTCCCTGATCACCAAGCTCAATGGCGTAAGATGTCCCAGACCATTGGATGCTGAGGGTATCAAACGACTACATTAACATTTTTCACGTCGTTCTCTTTCTACAATGACCCACTGGACAGTTTCTGTTCTCTGGTCAACATGGAGCTCCCAGCTGGTAGGAAACGGACTTGCAACGACTTGTGGTTCTTGATTGGTGTTCTCCACGCTGAGATAGAGCGGATCAGCAGTTGGCCGCCACACAGCCCTAATTGCGTATCCTCGACCATAGGGAAGAAACTCCCACTGAGAGATAGAGTCAATCACGGATGTCGACAATCGACAAACACGGTGTCTGCTCTTGCTTACTTGTTGGTTGTGCCCCCTATGCACAGTCCATCCAAGAATAGACCTTCGATCAGCGCCCGAAAGATCGAGTACCGTGCCACTCTTCACGTTGCGCAGAATGAATTTGTCCAAATTCATATAGGGTCTGGCGTCCAGGTCCATAATCTGTTGCCCTTGTACTGTCCTGCAGAATACGTGAAACCATCGTTGCCGGGGTTTCCCGGGAATTTCTTCCATGAGCCTTGCCTATTGTAAGAGTCTATATCGTTACTAAATCGTCGGAGCCCAAAGCAGTATGCACCTTGGCTTGAGATCCCTCGTTTTCGTTGTCCAAGCCAACGAAATAGCTCGTGTTAGGCCAGAAGATGCTGAGAGAATCATTAAATCGGTTGTCATACACATCCGATCGTGATCGGGATTAATCAACATCATAGAGCACTTACCACAAACTTCTATACTCCTCGTCGATATGAACATCCCAACTTGTGGGATAAGGACTGCCAATGATCCGTGCGCCATCATAGACTCCTTCCACTGTCAAAAATAGCCCACCCAAAAGGGACATGCGGGCACTGCGGATCGCGTAGCCTTTCCCGTTGGGAAGAAACTCCCACTACAACAATCATTGAATCAATTTAACTGGGACGTGATAGCGTAGAAACAAATGTCGTCTCACCTGTTGGTTCTCGCCCATGTGTGAGGGATATCCAAGGACCGACCTACGGTCCGCGCCAGATAGGTCCAGTGCGGTGCCACTGCGAGCATTGAGCAGGGCGTACGTTCCCGGAGTCTGGATAAGCATCATGGATGTGGAGGTATGGATCAGAGCGGAACGATGGGCACAGCAGCCAACAATTTTGTGGTCGTCGCTCATGAACATCGGACGTGTGACGAGTCGGAAGCTCCGAGTCTTGTGAATGCTGAAGCTGGGGCTTTTATAGTATCAATTTGCCTATCTTCTGATGGTTTCGCAACCGAGGCGCTGCTTTTCACATGGCATGGAAGATGCAATAAAACCACGAGGACTTCCATAAAGAGAAAACGCAACACCTCAAGTCTGACAGCAGCCGGCCCGCTACCGAAATAAGAGGCGTAGTTCAAACTTACGTCCCTCACATACTTCTATTGATAAATGTCCGACCAGCATGTCTAGTGACCATCTGCGAATGAGCAACTGTAGGGCCGAATCGAGAGAGCACGGCAAAACCGAACCGTTTTTAGGTTAGGCTCGAGTGATCCCCACTAATTAAGATGAGTTAATACATGTCGATACAGGATGAGATCGATTGGAAAGCGAGGTGTAAGATCACGTCGACCCTGGCCTTACATATATATCGTCCCGTGAGTTGTTCAAATCGCGCGGTACTGCGAATACACTCGGTGTATGTATATGTCACATGAGCTACGCCATCGAACTGCAAGATCGGGGGAAGTCTCACATGTCAGTCACTTGTTCTCGTGTTTCAATGGATGAGCTTGAGACGCTTTGGATATGTTCAAAAGAGACTTGTCTGTAGGACGTAGTACAGTTAATATGATCCTGAATTTCGTACCTTAATTTGCACCATCGTGATTAGCTCTGATTGTCATCGCCTGAGTTGATCGCGATACTGCAGTCTCAGCATGCAGCTGCTACTATGGCTCTCAGTACCGTTACCGACGTCATTTATGGCGCAAGCTGTCAGTTGAGTAACAATAGTGCAGTTTCGGGAAGTATCCTCTTGTGATTGAAAAAGCTACACGTTTCAAGATGAAGAACACAGGTCTGAATTGGCCGTGATTGTCACCTCGTGCACGCCGCAGACATGGAATAACACCACTCACATATCGAATCATTACTTCGACTGACGCCACCGATCCTAGGATGAGTCCCTACTACCACCCAGTTCCCTAGCGACCTTGGCATCTGAGACCTGAGCGTCTTCCGCATCACCAACCATCCGATCCTGCTCCTCGGCAATATGCTCCTTGACAAGTGGCTTGGAGAGGTACGGATCGTCCAGATCCAGCATCACACCTCGATATGTCTGCTTTCCCTCATCAGTTTCGCCGTCAAAAATCATGATATTTGCTTCAGAAACGTTGCCGTGCATAAAGCCAGCATCATAGTAGGCTTTGTGCTCTGTGGTTCATCAGCATAGATACGCCATGTTGCTTTATAACAGCAGCAATGTATAATACACGTACCACGGACTGCCATGTACATGATGATGATCAACTCGCCTGAGGCAACATACTCGCTCAGTCTGCGCGGGACGAGCTCGCAGACGTGCTCGGAGACATGGCGGAAGGGGCAGTCTAACATTGGCATGGTGAAAATGTAAGAAGAAGGAGGGCGATGGCTGAAGACAAGAATCAGGCAGTTTGAGAGCCATTTATCCTACTTTCGGCCCACTCGACACGCGCAAGTGGCCACGCGGCGACGCCCACGCGTACTTAAAGGTCCGAGTGGCCACTGCCACTGGCCGTTTATCAACGCATCATACTAAGCCTAGCGAGGAATCAGCCATACGAACTGGTGAAACACGATCACATCAAGAACAGTCCGCATCGTTTGTTTCTCCATTTTGCAATCGATGGAGCCCGTTCCACGATGGTTTTCTCCCTGAGCTCAGGGAACACAGAGGACATTACCAAATCACTCTCGAGACAGCATTGGGCCATCGTTCTATAGGCAAGAGTATATTGGAGAGTCGCAAGGCACTACGAAGGGAAAGGTGAGAAGGACAGATGAGATGGCGTCAAGAAGCGCTCTGCTAGCTGCGAACAATAGACGCCCGAGAGTATTGTTTCTTCCTCTGCATTTGTACTCGCGGCATTGTTCTCAAAGATTCCGTTATAATGTCTGTTTATTCTATGTACAAGGCAATTCCAGCAGGGCATGAACGATGCTGAACACCCTTGATATGACGGCCATCCCAAACATACCACTGTACAGTGCCGAGCGGGATATACTTTTGTTTCCGCTGTTGCCTCTGCTCGACCAATCACGCGCACGGTGCCGTCGCAAGACGTCTGCAAAACAACCCATGACGTATCTTGCTTCGCTTTTGTGCCGTCAGACCGTCGGGTGGCGCAACTTGTCGATCGGGAAGTCGACGAGCTCTAATTCTGTCAAAAGTCCCCGACGCTCATATATAATGGCCAACTCTCCATCGACATACCTCATTCTTCTCCTTTAAACTCCTTCCATACATCATGAAAGCCTCTGCTAAGCTCACCGACCTCGGTCAGGATGTCGTCGACCCGTTCTCCGATCCATCTGGCGAGCGTCTGACTACTGACCACGGTGTGTTGGTCTCGGATACCGATAACTGGTGAGACATCAATGCTTTCATTATGATAATGAGGCTTCGCGCGTGACTGTGCGCGTATTCGCGCTGCTATATGCGCTCGGCGCCATGACTATGTCACGTCGATGATGAGGTTCAGCATCGCTGTGTCATCGAATTCAAGGGGAAAGCGCATTCGCCTCGAGACTGTCTTCAATTCCATGTAAGATGTGTCCAAATATCTTATAACTGTTCAGGTTAAAGGTTCAAGACGGTGTTCATGTCGGACCATCGCTGTTGGAGGACCAGGTAAGGTCATTATATGCGTCCGAAGGAAGCGGATCTGAGCATAGCATCATAGATTGGCAGAGAGAAGATCCATCGTTTTGACCACGAGCGCATCCCAGAGGTGAGCTTGAGACTTTTCGAAAGCAAGACGCATATAGTGAACATTTCTAAGCGTGTCGTCCACGCGCGTGGTGCAGGGGCACATGGACACTTCAAAGTCCACAACAGCAATGCCTCGAAATACACCTACGCTCCCGTCCTCACCGACCCGTCAAGGGAGACCCCGGTCTTTGTGCGCTTCAGCACCGTACAGGGCTCTCGTGGAAGCGCGGTGAGTGCTACTGGTAGTCCTTATCAATGATGGGCTGTACTTAACCTACCATGCATTCGATAGGACACCGTCCGTGATGTCCGCGGTTTCGCCGTGAAATTTTACACGAACGAGGGGAACTGGGACATCGTTGGCAACGACATCCCGGTGTTCTTCATTCAGGATGCAATCAAGTTCCCCGACTTCGTTCATGCGGTGAAGCCGGAACCGCATAATGAAGTACCACAAGGACAGAGCGCGCATAACAACTTCTGGGATTATGTTGGGCTCCAGCCCGAATGTGAGTTGTCCCACATCCCTGATCAGTTTCATCGGGTTGCTCACCCCAGCGCATATAGCTGCGCACATGGTGATGTGGGTGATGTCAGATCGCGGCATACCTCGTTCGTATCGCATGATGCAAGGATTTGGCGTGAACACCTATACGCTCCTCAACAAGGAAGGCGAACGATCTTTCGTCAAGTTCCACTTCATTCCTAAGCTTGGCGTCCACAGCCTGGTATGGGATGAGGCGCTTAAGCTGTGTGGACAAGACCCTGGCATGTTTACTCGGCTGATCATCGAAGTATACTCTCATGACCCATTTCGCAGACTTCCACCGGAAGGATCTCGAGGAGGCTATCAGCACTGGCGCCTACCCTGAATGGGATTTCGCCATACAAGTGATACCCGAGGCTCGCGAGCACGACTTTGACTTCGACATTCTCGACGCCACGAAAATCTGGCCCGAGGAGCTTGTGCCTTTGGAGGTCATCGGGTCCCTAGTGCTCAACAAAACAGTCGACGAGTACTTCACCGAGGTCGAGCAGGTGGCGTTCTGCACGAGCCATGTCGTCCCTGGGATAGGGTTCAGCGACGACCCGCTGCTGGTGGGGCGCAACTTCTCGTATTTCGATACGCAGATAACCCGCCTCGGCATTAATTGGGAGGAACTGCCGATTAATCGCCCCGTGTGTCCTGTGATGAACTTCCAGAGGGATGGCGCGATGAGGCACCGTATTACGAAAGGATCGATCAACTACTGGCCTAACAGGAAGGGCATCGGGAAGCCGGTTCCTGCGAGCGATGGAGGCTATGCTGAGTACGATCTTCTACTAGAATCCCGCGGGCATGGTATCAATACCAGTTAACTCTTTTTAACTACAGATTCCCCCAGAAGGTCGAAGGCATCAAGCAGCGCATGCGTACCGAGAAGTTCCAGGAGCATTACAATCAGGCTCAACTCTTCTACCACTCGTTGGCACCTCACGAGCAGGCGCATCTCATCGCGGCAATCTCCTTCGAGCTCAGCCACTGCGACGACCCTGTCGTGTACGAGACATATTCAAAGCTCTTGAACAACATCGACTTCGAACTCGCGAAGCAAGTCGCTCAGAATGTCGGCGGTGTCCTACCTGACAAACCGAAGGATATCGGTCAAGTCAAGAAGAGCAACACACTCTCGCAGCTATACTTCACTTCGAAGGAGCCGACCATCGTCTCTAGGCGTGTGGCCATCTTGATCCAGGATGGCTTCGATGCGAAGCAGGTGAAGGCAATCAGGGAACTTCTGAAGCAGGGTCAGGCGACGACTTGGGTGATTGGGCCGAGGCGAGGAAAGATCGTGGCTGAAGGTGGCGGAGAGGGCTTGGGAGCTGACCACCACTTTGAGGGGCAGAGGAGCACGATGTTCGACGCGATAATTATACCTGGTGGCGCGGAGCACGCGAAGAAGCTGGCGGAAAATGGTCGTGCGGTGCATTGGGTGCGAGAGGCGTTCGGGCACTGCAAGGCGATTGGAGCGGTTGGCGAAGGTCTGTCTTACAAACTCGCTGATGCTCCCAGACATTGTGCTGACTGCTGTCAACAGGCGTGTCTTTCGTGCGCGAAGCGTTCCATCTATCCGAGGTCAAGTTCGCGGATGAGAAGGGTGGCAGCATTACTGTGTCGTATGGCGTAGTCACTGCGGGCAAGGACAGCACCTTGGGAAACCGCTTAGAGTTGAAGGAGGGCGCGCCGGGCTTCGTGTCGAAGTTCGCGTTCGAATTGAGCAAGCATCGATGCTACGAGCGAGAGACGGACGGGCTGACTTCGAAGATAGCATATTGAGGTCGTAGTCTCTCGAAATTGGATCGTATGTCACAGACATTGCAGAATAGACAGGGAGTCGACAAGGCCTTATAAGGGAAAATGTACATTACACCGTTTCAATCTGGCAGCTACTCGATGTCGACCAGTATAGGCACGTGTTCCATGTTCCTCTGTGTCTAGTCTACGTTCCCTCATCTGTGAATAGGAAGTCAATGTGCACCACCAGGCTTTGGTGTCTCGTGAAGCTAGACGGACTCCGTTCCCTGCCTCCGTATCAGGTCGGATATGGCGGTGGCTATCCGATTGGCTCGCATGCTCACGGTTGTTTTCTGGCGAGTCCGCTTCGTGCTCTCGTGTCAAGTCTTCCGACAATCATTGACCAAAGGAACGTCGACCGTTGAACGTTGACACTGCACATCACGCCAAATATCCACGGCAGAATATTGCAGGAATATCCCGAATTTCCTGGCGATATCCTTCAAGGATATTGCCAGGATATTTAAAAGGATATTGCCAGGATTTAACGGAAATCCATGCAATGTTTTGGCAATATCCAGCCAGATATCCTTGCAATGTACGTTCATGGATATTGCTCTGTTCTTCGTGGCTCGCTCCCGGTACCCTACGGCATGCATATATCCACATTAAAAATCACAAAATCATATATTATTGTCTCCTGAGGCTACTACATGCTAGAGGGTCTTATATGGTACAGTAGCATATGCAATACTCATTAAAGAGACACACAGCCTGTGCTCTGGATCACTGATGTGCATAAGTGCACTTCAGCAGAGCCAGAGCGCGATAACTGGAAAGTCAAAGATACCTGCATGCGAGAACATCATTAACAAGTTCTCTATATGGGTGAAAACGGCGCACGCACCGTGTGACTAGCTCAAGACGCAGACCCCACAAGTGGAGGTTCTGCGTCGACCGCCGGCATCATCGATTGCTACTACAATGACATCAGTCGGATGAGCATACAATCATAGTAAAGAAGCATACCATAGCCAAACGTTGAAGCACCGAACAAGGCCATGGTGTTGTAATATCCTAGCATGTAGTCAGCTTGGACATCACAAATGATGATGACAATATTACCTATGTATGGTTATGCTCAGGTGCCACTCGGTGCTGACATTGTTCACGATTCTGAGTAAGTAAATTGAGTTCAAACACTGCGATGATATACCCTCACTGATAACACTAGATCAACGAGTCACGCAGCTCTCGAGATGCTCTACAGGAGAAGATGGACACTTTGTTCCTGGAGAAGCAGCACCTGGAAGAGCTCATATCACACGCTCGGAGTGAGCTCCATCGGAAACCGACGCAGAGCTCAGGGCGTGTGCCGATGCAGAAGCCAAGGTGGAGGCATTGCAGGCGGAGAAGCTGGCTGCGGAGCTCGCATTCGAAGTTAGTCAAGGAGCTTGAGGCGAGAATTGACCAGGAACGCACTTCTAAGCTCAATATCGAAGACTTGTTACGAATCACTCAAGCCGACAAACTTCCGCTCGACGGAGCACATGCGCAAGCTCTCTCCGATGTCCAGAAGAAGACTGCCGAGGTAATCGCAGAGCGCGAGCACTATGCTAGACTGGAGAAGGAACTTCGCACGATGAAGGGAAAGCACCGAGAGTTGCCTGCGTCGCAGTCAAACAGTCAGACAGAGCTTGAAGCCAAGATCGCTGCTGAGCATGATGCTCGAGTCCAACTCGAGGAAGAATGCGAGCATCTCCTGGCGAAGAAGCGGAATCTCGAGATTACGCGCTCGAACACCAAGACGGAGCTCCACGAAAATATTTCTCTAGCAGCTGCAGAGCACGCTCGCTTGGAAGAGGCACTCGATAGCAAGGTCGCCGAGGTCGCCGAGGAGTGCAGTGCACGTGCCGAGCAAGAGCAGGCACCAGATACAGGCCGAGTTGAAAGCGAAGGCTATTGAAGCCGGCGCTGGGCACGAAGCGCACTTGAAACCGGAGAACGAGATCCAGCAGCTGTAGGCGGAGGTGCAAGAGGTGGAGATTTGCATTTGCGGAGCATTCAGGAACCTGAGGCGCAGGAGGACGAATGCAACTTGGTTCTATATGCACAGTGTAGACAGGTTGGGACCTGGAAGGCAGGATCAACAAGGGCAGTGAGGAACACTAGGCCCGATGGAAAGAGAGGAGAGAGGAGAGAGGAAGGGGTCGAGCACTATATATGCGGTCGATATTGACAATATTGGCAGCTGTTAGCTGAAGTACATGGAGAAGACTGCGACGCGCGCCGATCACGTGAGCGTATCTTGCCTTATCCTGTCCAGAACATCGCCAGAATATTCGCCTCAAAAGATATTTCCAGGATATTGCCGGGACATTCCAACTTTCCTGGCAATATCCCCCCAGGATATTTTGAGTCAACACGCAGTGTGAGATCTGAGACTTAGAGCCGGCGTTTGTATGCGAGCTGGAGACGTGGCACCTCGACTCAGGCACGAAGAGGAAGAGTTTTTTTTGATGTAGGCGGAATACTGTGTCGAAGACGCGAACAGACACACGAAGGACGTCAAGCGATTACTGACCATATCGTTCTCGACTGTCCACGAGGTCAACGATCAGTGCATGATATGTACGGCAATAAGACAATTACACCGAGCAAAGAAGGCGAAAAAAGCTCATGCAAGTAAGCAAGTTTCGATTCTGGTGGCTATGTTATACCACAGAGCCCTGTCGAAGCAATTCTGGACTGTTCTGATATGCGTAGAACAGGCCACGAGCGCCAACTCAGATCCACAAAGAACGTATTGCAAGGACATGATTATCATTAGTTGGAATGGAAGATCTCACCCCGTGCAGGTCAATCAACTATGCTGCAGCTCTGGAGGTCCCGCCTCTCCAGCTTTGTCGATTGCAGCCACGTCCTCATCGGTCAGCTCTATATAAGATCGATGGGGTCCAGTGTGAGTGTTGCATGTGCGAACCAGCGTCAAGCACGCACCGATATCTCCAGCTTGTATATATGTGTCCATGCGCTCGCGCTTCGTGCTAGAGCTACAATCGGCATAGTCGGTCAGGATAAGAGGGATGCCATTATTGCAAAAGGACCGTCAATGAAGGAAGCAATGGCTGGTTAGGACAAAATCAGAGGGCCCACTCACGTCACGACAACCACGCCCTTCGCCCTCGCCCACGCGAGCAACACCTGCTCCGGTTTCGCATTCAAACGCTGCGTGATGGCATACAGTGGCTCATCAACTGGCCCGCCGGAAAAAATGATGAGCGGTCTATTGTGGAAGGCGCGGTGAGTATAGTCGCGCGATTGATGACATCAACGAGAGTGCGACCCCATCGAAGGACGAAGTTATCATTGTGCAGATGAGTACGCACATGTTCACACCATATCCCTGAGTGACTATTCCGTGCTTAGTGCAGAAACTAAGAATGGGTGCCTGCTGTTTGAGGTTGTACGGGTAGAACATGATCTATTCGACCATTTGGTGAGTAAATCCAGAATGGATTGAACAGACTCGGAAGAGCTTACCTGATTAACCGCTGGTTTGGTCGTAGCCGAGGAAAGGAGCGTCTCGAGCTGTTCGACGTTAAAGTTGCTCACGCCGATACTCCTTGGAGTACATCAGAGCCACATTAACACAAAGTGAACGAGACCTAAGCGAAGGATCAGCTGACTTTGCCAGCCCGTCTGCTTGGATTTCCTCCATTTTCTTCCAGATCGTCGGAATATCCGGTTGCGCATGCTTGGGGCCGTGGATGAGATACATATCGACATAGTCTACACCGAACTGCGATCGGGCATCGTTTCAAAATAAGGCGCGCGACATGAAGATCTGTGCACGCACATATTCGCAGCTGTTTTTTAAAGACGTTTCGAGATCCGCGCGGCTGGAGAACTTCGTAGTGATGTACACGTCTTCGCGTTTCAGTCCATTTGCGCGGATCGCCGCGCCGGCTTCGGCCTCGTTCCCGTATGCTTGCGCAGAGTCTGCGTGCCATACCAATATCAACCGATTGCGACTGAGTCTGGCCAGAGCGTACAACCCGCCTATATGGGTGAACCCGGCGCTCAGGGCTTCGTTCACGATGTCGATGGCACCCTGCCCGTTCCCGCGTCTCCATGTACCGAAAGCGATCTTGGGCATGTAAGTGCCTTCATGACACATCAGATAACCTCTTGATTCAGTGTATATGCTTACGACAGCGCGAAGACATACCATCGTTGAGCTTGACCTTGTCCCAAGGCATTTGAGATGAATGTAGGGATTGAACGAGAGTCGCGACATCTCATAGCGATGCATCACGGTGGTACGAGATGACTCGGCATCGACCGTATCTTACTAACAATTATCTCGCCGATATGCTCGAAAAGTACATGATGTAGTCGGACGCTGTGATTGACAAGATAACGAATCGAAGCGTTCATGGCCGTCGAACGACTGGCGATGACAGTAGAGGTAGATTCAGATTCAGGTGGTCATCACGCGATCTTCCTGTATGCTGATAGATCGTCAACTTGTAGAGAACGTTGACCTCATTGGGAGTAATGACCCATAACATCAAGATGGGTGGCCGCTTAGATCTCAGAGGATGCAAGTGAGCTCGTATTAGGTGAGGTACTAGGCCTGAGAACCGTTGCCGTCACGATCTGATGGTGGCGTGTAAATCCAATTCAGCCACAGGCGCGTCTTGAGCGCGCACAACTTCGTGACCCGCTCCGCTTGTACCAGACCGGCGCAACTAAGCTTATTCATTGTTTATCATTCAGTGCAGCACTCAGCTTCAAGTTTATATCGAGCACCACAGATATCTTGGTGCGGTGTTTATAATACAACATCCTCTGACCGGCAGAACTGCCCGACAGATTTCCAACGTACAATCCTCCTGCCCTGATCATTCATAAACAACGGCGTCGAGCAGCTTGGTCTCAAAGTCGCCCTACGATGGAAACGAACCTCCGTAATTCACCCGATTTCGCGCTACATGTATACCGGACGCAGAATATCCGCGACAACACCTTGGACGATGCGCAGCTGGAAACTCGGTGTCCGCTCGACAATGGGCTACATGATTGCACGCCCATCTCCACGTGTTTTGCCGCCAATTAGCTCGACAGGTTCCCCCCTAGAACTTCTCATCGAGGTCCTGCTGCAGCTAGACATTCCTTCGCTGACTCGCTTCCGCGGCCTCAACCGCCGCACAATGGAGCTTGTCAACTCGGTCCACCAGTACACCGCAATCATCGAGCATTGCTCTAACACCATCCGCGCCATTGTTAGCATCGAGGCGGATACGTTTGACTGTGGTAAACTGTACGGAACACTCTGTACAAGCCGATGTTACACGTGCAATCGCTTTGGCGACCATCTCTATCTTATAGACTGTCGCCGCGTCTGCTACTTCTGTTTCACCCGGTGGCCGGAATACTTCCCCCTCACAAGTCGCGAAGCATATAGGTTCTTCACCCCCAACACAAAGCCACAGAGCAAGTCTAAAAGCTCCCGCAAACTCTTAGAGTTGGCGAAACCACCAAGCATCCTGAGCCTGCCCGGGCGGTACTGTAGTGCTTGGACTACGAGGGGGGGAAACCACCAGGGAACCTAAGCGATTCATGGCCATCATCTCCGCGCCGGTTCTGCTCAATGGTGGCCGGCAGGTCGACCAAGGATTCTTCTGCCTCGGCTGCAGGGACGAGACGGAGGAGGAAACCAAGCACTTCAGAATCAAATACACGACAGAAGACATGTCAGAGCACATTGCGAGCTATGGACGAGTAGTGGAGAGGACGCCGAGGACCCCCGGCAGGTTCATGCACGTTACCAAGGACCAGATCACGCCGTACTAGAGAAGTGACGGTGGCGACCACAGACGAAACTTAGTGAGTGCTCTGCACTCTACGATTGACGCACCGGTTGAACACGATTTACAAGTGCTAGCTACCGGAGTATACTTCACAGGTTATTACGCACCTTCTAACGTGTTTCATTTATGCGTACGCATCACAGTCGCTGCAGCCATCCAGTCGCATCGAAACTCGTCGTATTCGACGCGATCATCGTTTATATCTGCACTTCCACGAGCGTAAAGCCCAAAGTATCTTATTTCACTCAGCAGTTAACTCGACAATGTCTCCCTTACCAGTCCTGTACCACTGTCCTTCAGAAATTCCCGTCTGTATTTCATATCCCAACACCTCGTCCCCAAAAAGAAGTTTGGAAAGCCGGTTAATGATAGGCGCGGTCGCCACTTCGTTAGTGATTGCGATCCACAGCGCTTGCCATATATGCGAGTTTCGTGTACACTGCGTGAGCTTTCCATTTGATGCAATATCTACGGCATCGAGATACGCCCTGCGATACTTCATCAACTCGGTCGGGGAGTCAAACCGCCCGTTTTCTTCGTCAGAGTTATTCTCTGCCCAGCCATAGAAAAGCGGGTCCCAGTCCACCGTGAGCCACGAAGGATACGCCATTGCTCCACCTTGGCGCGGCCCTACGTAGATACCATCCCAATCTATGATTCCGGTGATAGTCCCGTCATCGGCGACAATGATGTTCTGGCTATCGTAGTCGGTGTGGCCGAGGACAAATGGCGGACCGTCAAGTGCGGGGTCGGGAAGCACAGAGAGGAAGAGCTGCAGCATCACGAGCATCGGACTGTCGCCCAAACTTCGACGGGCATATAGAACACAGGAGAGGAAGGCGTGCGCACTGATGAACGGGCCTGCGGGGCCCAGAACAGGGGGAGGAGTCTCATCGTCCGCAAAGACAATGAGAGTGGAAAGCTCGGGGAATGGCACAACGACACATGTTCCAGATGTCTCGTCGACTTCCAGCCGCCCAATTTGGCCAAACTCCAATTCAGCGAGTTCTGCCATCCACCAAGCCAATTGTTTGAATATAATCTCCCGTTTCGCATCAGTAATCCACTGGCTATCGTTCCAAACCTTTGAGAGGTTCGTGCCGATGACGAAGTCAGTTATCATGAACGGGCGTCCAAGTGCGTTCTGGGCGTCAACCGACCAATAATGTATATGTGGCAAAGGCATAGATGTTTTGGAGGAAACTAGTCGCTGAGCGACGATATCGAGATGCATGGTCTGTGCAAATGTGGGAGAGAAGACGTCGCCGGCGGCAGGGATGCGGATTGCCCAACGCACGTCATCCGAGAAGACCACTTCGTACACGATGTTGTAAGATCCTGTATGAGGAGGATAATAGACCGTGCAAATTACGTCGTCCGTCAGGTTTGGAGAGGTTTCCTTTCGTATTGCAAGCACGAACGCTTGCAGTTGTCGGATATCAATGGCGGCAATGATACCCGCAAACAACTGTTCCTCCTCGTCTCCCTCTCTTTCATCCTCTTGATTTGAAAGAGCGTCCTTATCTTCGTCGAGTCTTCGAACCTCAGTTGTCGCGGAGCAGTTCGTCGAACAATCGTTATCACGGCCATCCTCGTTGATGGTAGAATGCATCACGTACAGAGAAATCGGATGAGGGTGATGTAACAGCTGGAGACAATAATCGGCATATATGCGAGTGGAGAAATACAGTAATGCGCCCAATCATCGAATTGAGCTGCTCGGAAGATGCAACTTGCAATTCAGCTCAGAGGAGGCGTGACGATGGTGGCGTGAGATTTTCAGCCACAGGCGCGTCTTGATCGTGGCAAAGTCCGAGCCCCCCGCAACGTCCTCCTTGTACCTAGTCTCGGAATGATGCACCTTTCAGATTTCAGCTTTCCAAATTTTATCACTCACTGGTACCCATGCTCGTTATTCAACATTCAGCTCAACTCAGCGAGACTCAGTGAGTGCGCTTTGCTAGACGACTGACGGATCGTCTTAGAATGATTCACACGTGCTAGCTACTGACGACATTCCATACTCGATCAAGCCATGGTAATAGAATATGATAGACATAAATACGTACACTGTAAAGGTGCATCGTTAACTCTTAGCGGTGACCTTGAGGTCAGCCCGCAAGCCCTGCCATGTCAATCGCAACAATGTCCGCCAAGGTAAGCTCTGTTGGAGTTGCGAGCGTGTCAGTGTTGGGCCAAACATAGGCATAGGAAAAACAAATTGACACGTACTTAGATCACCCGCCTTCAGATACCCTTCGAGACGTTCTCGCTTTGTGCTCGAGCTAGGCAACCACAGTCAATATCATTGCTAGTACGATGTTCGGGCGCGTACGTCACGACCACAACCCCTTTCGCTTTCGCCCACGCGAGGAGGACCTGCTCCGGCGGTGAATTGAGCCGCTCAGAGATAGACTTCAGAGGTGCGTCGAGATTCCCCCCGGGCTGTTGAGTGATGGGTCTGCCACGCGAAGATGGTAATTTATATGAAGAAACGATCGGATTTGCAGAGGGAGAGATTGATGGATGGAAGAAGACGTACAGCAGTACGCTGTAGGCCTCGCTGACAATTCCATGTGAAGAGCCGAAGGCCACGATGGGAGTTTGGCGAGTGAGGACATAAGGGTGGAAGAGGATCTAGCGAATTGAGGTGGGGATATTAGGAAGCGAATGGGAAAGGAAGACTCTATGCTCCCCTGATTGACCACCGGTTTGACGGTTGCCTATTCAAAGTCAGATCTGGAACCGTGACGTTGCTGACGCCGATGCTCCTGGGGTAAAAACGCAACGATCGTAAGCACTTCCATGGACATCGGGGCCTTACATATATACACGAGCTCACTTCGCGAGTCATGCAGCCTGTATTGCCTCCATCTTCTTCCAGATGGTAGGGATATCCGGAACGGCGAGGTCGGGTCCGTGGATCAAGTACAGATCAACATGGTTAACACCGAGCTACAATCGTCCCTCTCATTGCAACGCGGTAAGAAGATCAAGTGCACTCGCTTACGAATTCACAGCTGTTCTTGATAGACGTGTCAATGTCCGCGCGCCCCGAGTACTTCGTGGTGATGTAGACGTCCTCGCGCCTGAGCCCGCTCGCACGCAGTGCATCACCAGCCTCAGACTCATTGCGGTATACCTGCGCGTTATCTAGCGCGATCCGCTTTTGCACATCTCGCGCTGGGGAGTCGAGCAGAGTCCCATGGCTTACCGATATGAGTGAACCCGACATCGAATGCTTGCGACACTCAATGGATGGATGATTGTCTGCCCCTTCCCGAGCTTCCAGGTGCCGATCGCGATGCTCGGAATAGTCGTTCCTGTCAAACAGGTACGGCAACGGATAGTAGACAAGAAATCTGCAAACGTTCAGCGGCTAACCGTCGTTCAGATTGACATCCTCTCAAGGCATCTTGCTAGCAGCGGCTGCGAATTGGACGTGGAACGAACAAGAACTGCATTCAAGTTGGAGCACACCGCTCAATATATCGAGATGCCACGGTCCGTTTCCTCTGTGAACTCTACTTGAACGAGGAACGGATGACGCCGCGTGGGACAGCCATGCGACAGGTTGCACCAACGAATTCTCCTTCCGGGATTCAGATGACTGAGGGCCTGAGGCCCAACTCTTGATCATGCATAACCCGCGCAGAATCGATTCATGTAGGCGTAAAATTGCGTATTATTGCTCGTCATGTACTATCTATTCTATCATGCAAATCATAAAAAAATTCAAAGCTACGCGTGCAAGCGTACAACAAGTACTCATCAATGCATCACGATAGTCACTCCAGGCACAGACAGGAGCTAAGAATCGGGCAATCGTCAAAAAACAGCGATGTAGGTATGTATGTATGGAGTATATCATGCATGCAGGTATCACAGAGGTATACAGGGGGAAACAGCTTACGCCTGTGCACGCGATGGGTGTCGCGCGAGCGTCGTGCCCGCCCTTTGCGCCTGAATGCTGCTGAACCGCTGTAGCTCCTCGGGCTTGATATGCACCCGGCCGCCCAATCCGACCTTGCGCGCCGCGCGGCGGATGAACGACACCCGGTTGGAGTACAAGCTCTCGTGTATGCTCGCCGCGCGCGACTGCGTCCGTGTAATGGGCACACCCGTGCTACTCGCCTCCTTCGCCGCCTGCATCATCTCCGCGTTGTGTTTCTCGCGCAGTTTCTTGATCACCGTCGCCTTCATCGCGAACTTGATCCAGTCCAGAGGGATGAACCAGCAAATGTTCCACACCCATACGATGCCGACCCACCCGCCGCTGATCCCCTGTATCTGTGTGAAGCCCCAGTTCGCATATACCGAGATGATGGTCGAGACGAGCTGTGCGATGCAGAACGCGCCCATCAGCGCGAACGATGGCCGCTCCATGAAGAAGAAACCGTGCGATCGCGTGACGAAGATGAGGGCCTGTGAGATGATGGCCACCTGAAGGTAGACAATCGAGTGCAGAATCTTGTCATTGGGGTACGTCGGCATGATGTTCCCATCCTCAAAGGTGACGCCGAACTTGCGGTAGAAGAAGTCGGTGCGTAAGCAGATGGAGACAAGTGCAATGCTAGATAAAAAAAAATCAGTCAGCGTCAATTAATTTAACAAACACGGAATGGAACACCTACGTGGAGAGGGTGAGGTACAAGCCATATGCGACAGCGAACGAGAAAATCTCTGCAAGATCCCAGCTGTCCGGCATGTTGCTCGGCAGGACACGGTCGACCGAGAGCGTCATGATGGTACCATCGTTAAGCAGGGCAATGATCAGCACCATGAAGGGCGGGAAGTCAAACTTGAACGCGAATGCAAGAATGGCGAAGCAAACGACAATACGGATGGTAACCGCGCATGCATATATTGAGTAATTGCGCATACGCTGGAAGATGACACGAGAACCGCGGATGGCGTGGACGATAGTCGAGAGACCCGGCTCCGTCAATACAATATCCGCAGCACCGCGGGCAGCGTCCGTCGCGCCCTCGACAGCAATACCGACGTTGGCACGGGACAACGCCGGCGCATCGTTCGCACCGTCGCCGGTCATCGCGACCAAGTGACCGAGACCCTGAAGACGCTTAACGATCTCATACTTATGCTCGGGGAAGACACCAGCGAAACCATCCGCGTCGAGGATCATCGCGTCGAGCGACGCATGCTTGCCTCCCGGCTCGGGGCCCTCCTTGAGCACCTTCGCAGGGTACATGTGGTCACCCAGTCCGAGACGACGTCCAGTCTCCTTTGCGATTGCGAGCTGGTCACCAGTAACCATCTTGACCTTGACACCAAGGGCCATAGCGTCATCGATCGTCTGCTTGGTATCCGAACGAGGCGGGTCGAAAATGGGAAGCAGACCAATGAGCTCGAAGCCGTTGCCCTCAGCAGCATGATCATCTCCATCCAGCTCCTCGTATGCGACAGCCAAAGCACGAAGACCGCGCTGCGCAAACTCCTCGACATCGGCCTCGAGACGGTTCTCGATCTCCTCGGTCTTGTTGCGCGTGCAGAGCTCGATGATGATACCGGTCATACCCTTTGTCACGCGCTTCAGGCGACCTGACGCCGTCTCGAGGTAGGTGATCTCCGTACGCTTGTCGACGGGATTAAACGGCTTAAAGTCGAGGAGCTTGATACCGTCGCGTGCGCGGCTCGGGTCGCCAATTGCGCCGACAATACAAGCGTCGATGGCGTCCTGGTTCTCAGTACGGGAGGCGTAGGCGGAGAGGAGAATCACATCCTCAGCAGAGAATGGGCCGTATGTACGAACGCTCTCGCGGTCGATAGTGAGCTTGTTCGTGGTCAGCGTGCCCGTCTTATCCGAGCAAAGAATGGTGACAGCGGCAAGCTCCTCAATGGCCGTGATACGCGTGACGATGGCCTTGTATTTGGCGAGCTGCTGAGCACCGACAGCAAGGGTGACGGACAGGACAGTGGGCATGGCAATGGGGATACCACCGATCAGGAGTACAAGGATATCGTTCAGGCCACGACGGTAGTGGTAGCGGAAACCGGCGTACAGACAGAAGATCTCGGCGATGACGAAGATACCGATGGATACCAAGCAGAAAGTACCAATCTGGGCAAGGATCTTCTGCAAGTGGCCGGTCGTATCGTCGTCCTGGCCAACGAGTGAAGCGGCGCGACCGAAGAAGGTGTTCGCACCGGTAGAAATGACGACACCCTCGGCTTCACCCTGTTTGCAGGTCGAACCACTGTAGATGACACGTGAGCATCACGAATTGATAGGCTACCACGCGCATATACTCACGAGAAACACTGATCGCCAGTCTTCTTGCTCTGGGGGAGCGACTCGCCAGTAAGAGCAGCCTGGTCAATGGAGACGTTGATGGCCTCAATGAGACGGCAATCCGCAGGAACGATATCACCGATCTTGAAAGAGATCATATCACCAGGGACAAGGTCGGACGACTCGATCTCGCGCCAGCTACCGTTACGCTTGACCTTGGCCTTGGGCGCGAGCGAGTCCATGAGAGCCTTGACAGCATTACCAGCGTTACGTTCCTCGTAGAAACCGATGGCCGAGTTGATGAAGAGCAGAAGGACGATACCGACGAAGTCCTCCCAGTCCGGTGGCTGGTGCTCGCCGTTGGAAAGGACGATAGCGACAAGAGCAGCACCCTCCATGACCCAGGAAAGAGGGTTCCACATGAAACTGAGGAACTGCGGCGCGTGTGAGCGGCGTGTGAAAGTGACAACGGAAGTAGATAGTGCTTACCTGGAGGAATGCATTCTGCTCCTCCGCCTCGAGCTTGTTGGGACCAAAGATCTCGAGGCGACGGGTAACCTCCTCATCTGTGAGACCGCCCTCGTCGCACTGAAGCAACTTGAAGACATCGTCGACGACGATGGTCTCAAGGTCAACCTTTTCCTTATCGTACAAGTCCTCGGCGCGAAGCTGGATCTGGGACATGTCGACGTTGGCATCTGCATCGTAGGCGCCACGTCAACAAAAACATCAAATTAATTCGGCAGATTGAGCGCACGGGTAGCCTTCGTTTCTTCATGTCCAAAGTCCTTGTACTCGCGCTTTCTCTTCTCTGGCTCGGCGGGGGAGGTGGGCGAGCCCACGTCGGGCTCACCGGGTGTGCCGGGCTGCTTCTCGTCAGGCGTCGACATGGCTCGAGCCGTAGATAGCTAAAGGCTGATCGCCTCGATAGAGAGGAGGAAGATGCGAGACGGGAGCGGGGACTGAGGGAAGGGGAGGGGAAAGGCGAGGAGGGGAAGGGGGCGAACAGCTGGGAATATATATACTAGCGTGGCGCGAACAACGCGATTGCGAAGGAAGGGGCAGGGGGGTTATGTGACATGAAGTTCTCCAGCGTCAGCCAGTTCGAAATCTGTCTGAGGTGACATTCCAGCGGCACCATCAGATGCAGTCACGCGTGTGCCCGAAATAGCTCCCGTCATCACGCACCCTTCCAGTCACCCTAATTTCTCCCTGCCGTGTGGCCGATGCCATCGGTCAGCATCCTCCTTGTGTCTGTAGGCCAAAGCAGAGGTTTATTGTCGCAGCCACAGCGAAGAAAGCAGTGAACGCGGGGTAAGTGCCCGAGACAACAATGACGTTGGAGCGGCGTTGGAGCGGCGGCGCTAACTTTAGCACGCATGTCCCTGCCGCAGTCCCCGACAATCGCCGCCCTCCTGCCCGCCACTCTCCCCGGTCTTTTCGACGCCCAGTGCCTGTGCTATCGTTGGACGATTCGCACGTCGGTCCTTGCCGATGCCGCCGGCCATGGAGAGCGGTGCGGCGCTACGAGGCCTGTCCGGCGCATGCGACGGCAGCTTCTCGCTCCGCATTGACTTTCCTCCATTGCGAACGCGACATGCGCACTTTTTGCCATACAGCCCGCCTGTGCACGGCATTGCGGCTGCTCGGCGTAGCGGAGTTTTCCTGGGCCCCGATTCGTCTTCGATCGGCAAAGCGGCAGATGTGATCCCACGTGAGGCGGATTTCGCACGCACGGACCTCTACCTCGCGCGAATATCGCCCCAGGGGATGCTCGGATGGTTTCGGATGGTCATGGGGATATCCGTTTATATGCACCTAGGAATTCTCTACGTCAATGCACGGCAAATTACTGGCCTTGACCCTCGGGGCCACCGACACCATCCTTTACCGGCCACCACGCCGCTGAGATCAATAACCGGTCTTCACCATTTGTTTTTCTAGCATCCTTGGGTACCCCGCACCCCGCACACCGAGGCGAAGCCGATCACTTGCGCTGTTGTGCTTGGCTCGACGCTCTCGCGTGACGTCGTCCGAGCCTGAGATACATGCAATCCGCGCGGTCCCCAACGCTAGTATAATTTGCAATCTTCTCAGCACTGCTTCAGCTGTTCCGAATATGCTTGCTATGATGTAACCCTCAACGGTCTTGTTCGGGCTGTGCGAGTACTATGAATACGCCCTACATCCGCCTAATGCCGGTATCGGATGTACTCTCTCCAGCAGATGGTGCTCTATGGTCACCCGCATACCTGTTCAACCCTCAAAATGGAGCTCCTAGGAAAGAAGTGGCAAATCTACCGCCACAAATGCTATGCGTGGTCAGATATCGCACCGCAATCTATTCTTGCTTCCTCTTTCGAATAAAACCTACAGTGCACAGCCTGTAAATACTGGATTTACGATTGGAGAACACGCTGTGGTTCGATTCACAACAGGCGCTACAAGCGACAGCCACGCTGCTCCGATCCGACTTCGTCTCCAGCACAGCCATTTAACCGCTCGCAAAATTTTGACACAGCCCAAATTAAACACCTTCGACCGTCTTCTCTCTTACCACAATCGTGGCTACGGTCAAGTCTGCATTCAAGTTGGCCAGCATGCTCCATTTCGGATCAAGCAGTGCCCGCAAATCATACTTCAGGCTTCTCCGCTGCTCCCCAACGTCCTGGCTTCAATTTTTCTGTATGCGCCATTTTAAACTGGGACTAATCATTATAATTAGGTCGCACAGCTGCCTCTAGAATCTGGACACCATGATGGCTGCCGGCGCTTTACAGTCCGTCTATCCGTCGCTACATCAGTCATGATCAAACCATCTGTCGCGCTGGCTTTCTCTCCGCATCCGATCTACCTATTCCCTTGATGAACACTCATCTGATCCTAGTCCTGTGCTGCGCACCAGACCTGGATATCGATCTCTGCTTCTGCCAGCTTGGCTTCGGGCTTAAGCTGCCATGAGCTTTCGGACTTTGTGGACGTTACTCTTGGCTCGGACGTCGGCATCTTGGCTGGGCTTGGACTCGCTCGTACGATCTCTCTCCGTGCCCGCGCCGCCAATCTCGCCTGGATTAGATGCATCTCAGACTCTGGATCTTTCATTTCATCGAGTCTGACGTTGGCGGGCTGATGCGACCAAATGGATGCTAGTGTCGGACCAGACGAGGATCTTCCGCCGGCGGCAGGCTCTCTGGAGCGTTGTTTCGCCGCTCTGAAGCGTCAATCCATCTCCCGAGACGGGTTATAGAAGAGTTGCACGAGCGAGGGATGGTGGTTCGTGCTGCACGTCGCTCTGAGCGGACTTGGTTTTCGAGTGGTCGTGCGGTACCGACGCGTCAATCTTCCTTGGCACCCTCCTCACACCAATCATTCTATCTTTTTTCTTCCTTATACGAACATGCATCCGCTGAACGTCGATAACTGACAGATTGATGCGGTCAAACAGCAGGGACTGCAAGAGATAATTGCGCGACTGGCTATTGCTTTGAATTTAGGAGCAGACCGTCAACATGCTCACTTGACGACGGTCGGCAGTGGGTGATAGGTTCAGGATATATGATACGGCGTGGCAGGCGGGTGAATGGCAAGCGCACGAATACAGTAAATCGTTGACTTTTGGACATTGATGTTCCTTAACTGGGTGCAGCGTTGCGTGCAGTCTGCATTCCGCTATTGGTTCTGCTCGTCATGATGCATGTCCACCTTTCACAACGAACGCTCGCCAACACAGGTTATGAGCCTAGCGACCGTCGATCATAACCCGCCGCTCTCCATTCGCCGGCTCCACCAGCCAATCCAATGCACCCATGTGTCGCTCGTGTGCCCGCAATCCAACTTCGAGCACATCTTCTGGTTTCTGGTGACCGTCCGTGAGAGCCCCAGTAATCTCCATCCGGTCGTCCCCGCATCGCGCAAACCCTCATTTAAATTTGATTCTGACAGTCCCTGAGTAGCTTTGTCCGAACAGCCCTGAGCAGCCGCGTGCTTGAAGATGCCACAAGACGCCGGCGGCGGACGTTACGCGGCTATGCGAACGGTCGCTTAGACACGGACAACCGACGCATCGTCTGCCACGGCTGTTATGTAGTACCTCCGATCAATAATCAATAATCACTCAGCGTGAGATGTTCATTGCTCACGCCCAATGGCGACTGCAGGCCGTCGAGGGTGCTGACATTGCACCTCTTGGCGTCGAACCTTCATGTGCAGTGGAATTTTGCGCGGTACATACACTTCTAGTAGGCAAGGAGACTAGTGAAGGGACGTGCGGCGATGGCTGAAGTGTGAACATTGATATTGAACATTCAGTAGACCCACGCTTATGATTCCGTTCCGCATGTCCGGTGTGTGGCGCCACACACCGCACATTGGCAGCGGACCTGACAGCTGGCTTTGAACTGCATTGGAAAAGCGGTTTCGAGGGCCGCCTGGCTGCGTTTCGAGGTCCACCCGTTCGCGCTCCAGTGTGTACTGTGCTGGATCAGCTTTCTGCCGCTGCACGGACCATTATCAAGCAGCAGTTATCTGGGGTCTGTTTCGTGGCCCGCAGCGCTTAGCTGTTGCTAAATATAATGCGTACCCTCGTCCTCATATTACTTGTGCGTTGAATATAGCACCGCGGTGCCATCCGCATTGAGACCAAGGCGGACGAGCCGAGACCAACATCATTCGTTTCTGCGCGACGGGACGTCCGCCCTGGCGAGTCGCAACGCTACCGTCGGGTGAATTTCGAACATGCAGAGTCAGAGCCGCAAGAATCCCGGGATGCAGAAGCGCGCGCTCTGAGTACCCTTGCGTCATCGTCGGATCCCAAGGAAGAGCAATGCTGCTACCACAATCTACTGCTGTTACGGGCGTACTCGGACTTCCAGTCAAGCCTGATGACCACAGCTGCCCGGTCTGCCAGAAGGAGTGGCAACACATTAGTATGAGAGGTCATGAAGTGGCGCCTTCTTCATCCTGACTACTCGAAGAACGTTGCGCCCTCAGCTCCTATCCTGGGCCGACTGTAAGTCAGTGATCAGGAGCAGAGTAAGAGGATGATCCTTGAGATATGCGCCCGCGAACCATTATCGTTTCCGTCCAATAAAAGAACGTCGTTGTCAGTCATTGTCACGCTTTGCTCCTCATGAACGCTTTTTTCGTAAAATCATCCGTGTCAGTGACCATATTTTGAGACTCGTGACCTTGCATAACGCACCTGTTGCACACTAGTGGATTTATTATCTTCCCTTTCAAGCGTTGAAGAAGGAGACGATCTGTGAAAAGACTTGATTCGGTGCTCGTTTAAGCGTCGTCACGATCCGTACGTCGATTCTCTTGACTCTGCACGCATAGAGCATGATTCATACCTGGACCATTATTGGAATTAGGAACCACCGATATTGCCCCGCGCATGCATGTTTGTGCACGCGACATACACCGTAGCCCCTTGATTTCATCAAGATAGTAGTCAGAGAATCGCGGAGCCAGTCGGTGCTCCACTGGTCGCCGACACGTCTACGGACAGCTGAGTCGTCGATCAGCTTTCAGTGGGCAGTGGTCTGAACGTTCCTTCATTTCTGCCAGCCGCCGGAAGCTCTTCGATGCTATCACGTACGGGGCAACATGTTTTGACTGGACACATGCCATGCCGAGAGCAAACAAAATGAATGATCAGCGCAATCTGATACCGCAGCGATGACTTTTAGAACACTTACTTAGGAGTTGACATCCGTTTCCGTCTTGCAACTACATCTTGGATTCGTTGAAGTTTGATGGTGAATACTCGAAGAGACTTTGGGAAGTCACCAACTAGCAGATTCACCGAACGACAAGAGGAAGACCGTAACAGGAATGGCTCAGGGAGAACGACACTGCTGGAGTACCGTCGAGGAGCACTGTCGACGCTAGCTAGATCATTGATGACTCCAGACGCTACGGCTGCATTTGCATAGTCACGTTCGGTGAGACAGTTCTAATGTTGATGTGCGTTTCCGTCACTTTGCCTTTGAATCCCAAACTAGGCTTGAAATATGCTTGACGAGCTCACAACGTGTATGACTAGAGCCGAAATGCGCTTTATATTCCTCGCAGGAATGTACAGAACTCGAGAGGTTTTTAGTGAAGGGGTGACCTAGATAAGGAGGCAGGATGTTGGCCGGTACTGCTCGAACGCCAACCGAGAGAATATTACAAGTGAAGAGCTTGTCGCATACGACCATGCGGTTACTTGGCGTGATAAGAACTGGAATGTACGTCGCGACGGCCACGGACATTATGCGAATTGGCTGACCTGCGCTGCACCCCAGGCGGACATGCGGCAACACGGCGGAGATGGCGATCGCTATTCACGGGAGGGTGAGAATAACATTGCGACCCAAGAAATGCTTCTCCCACCTAATAAGGGCCTAGGGATGATAGATCAAACGAGCCACTGGTCGGTTTGAGAAGTCACTGGAGACAGTACTGCTAGCTAGCCTGTAACAAAACAAGATTTGAACAAAACGACTCGCAGTCCGCCCTTGACACGTGCCATTCGAGCGCTCGCGCTCTGTCGGTCCAACTTAATACGCCCTCTCGAACACACAATGCTACATCTTGCCTCCTGCTTCGAGATTCGGGCGGACCCGTTGCACATCACATCATCTTTAAGCTTGCTGGTGTGGACATAGTCTGCCCAAGGGTCTCTTCATATTTGAAGACTGATCAAGAGTGGAGTGAGCTTTGGCGGATATAATCAAATAGGACAATTGCATTCGAAGACCGAGCAGCGAGGATTGAACTAATGACCGCTATGGCTGCGTGTAATCCGAAATCAGAAGAGAAGAAGATGTTTGATGCTCGAGTTTACTGAATAGCACGGGAGATGCGAGATCTCTGGAGCGAGTTAGAAGGTTCGTGTTTCCAAGTCATATGTATATTGTGCGCTCTTACACTGCACATATACTACTGAGCGTCACGCTAGTCTTCCGTGGGCAGACGACACAATTCTTTCAACCTCCGCAGGAACGCTCCGGATATCTACGTCACGTCTGCTGTTGGGGTGGATCCGCACTTTTTTCATGCATCTCATAAAATTGCTCACTCACATGCTGTCCGAGAAACGCCGACTTTAGTTCTTCTGACGCGATGAAGTTCTCATCTCATGGACCAACTGGAAGGGCAGATTCTGACCGCGTTCTCTGTCTTTTGTCAAATATGGCTCGAACCCATAAAATTGCGCAGCAATTCAAGTCCGTTAGTAAGCAGTCTGGCATCTCACCTGCGAGTTCCTCATGACTGATGAAAATACAGCATATAGGTAGGTCTCTGAATCACACATGGAGGATGGGGATTGATTCTCGAATCCCAGAACGAACAGACGCAATGTTGGCATGCTTCTGCTTGCCAAGGCAGATCACTCGATGTGATAGTTATGATGTTCAGTTCAATGTAAGCCACTTCAATGTAGCAGATAATAATGCTCTAAACTTGCATCTCCACAGCACCGTTTATAACATTTTCATCAGGAATTTACTCGTTAATATGTATATTTGACGCGAAATAGCAGCAGCGGTGAAGGCTTGCATGACTACGATAGCTCAGATGCCGATCTACACCTGTGAGGTTTCTGGCCATGTTTCATGATCTAATTTGCGCAATTCGGGCGTAGGATTCTGGACACTGCAAAGACGATAGTCACACTGCACATGCGTGCCTGCATCTCATGGTCTCTGAGATCCTCATGCAATCTCCTAGTTATTATGTTGTGTCTTCGTCGACGTCCATCGCAACTTCTTATCATCACTTGTGGTGCCGAGATCAGATATCATATATACAAACTGTCATGTTCTCATGTAAACCCAGCTGTAAGACCGTTCTCACTCTATGTTAATTCTGTGCATGATGTGACAGTACGCGTTGCCACGTATCACCAGAGTCGTCTGCTATCAAGACAATCATTATGGATGAACGCATGACGCATGGGACCATCTCAGATAATGGTGAACAAGTCTGAACAACAATCATTTGCCCCAGTCGCTAAAGACAGCGTGCGACGATAGGAAGGCCTCGTGCATAGATGCAGTGAGTTTTTCAGAAACCTAAATGTCTAAAACGACCGTCCATAAGCTTTATAGAGATTCCGCTTCAAGCCTTCGCCGGACCCACCAGATAAAACGCAATGTCCGTGACCAACTAGCCACTTTCGTGAAATGGTGCGTAAAGAAGCACAAACGTCTCTCATTGGTACGTTTGGGGTTTTATATAACATTCAGCGGGTTTGAAAGTGTATCGTAACTACGTGAGCTCGAAAAGCTCACCATGAGCGAGTCACCTACGTTTTGCCGGATCTTTCATATATGTGTGCGCAAGGGGCGTTCATGTCCGACTTTATTCATCGACTGATCTATTAGCTTGTGCGTTATTCAGACTTTCTTTCGATTTCGCCTCTCTCCGAACTGGCTACTTTCCTATCTCAGCAAGATAGACTGTTCCGAACCTGGTACATGACGAAAAAGGGCACTATAGATCGTTCATTCCTTTGTAGGGGTTCGAGAAGCTAAGAAATCAGCCAGGTCCTTGGCGATCCAGTCATGCATCCGACTGGTCGGATGGAGGTGGTCGACCCAGATGCCCCCACCCGATTTCCTGACGTCCTCAGTTGCAAATCCATGAGCAACCGGATCATCTAGCACACGGTTGAACGTGTCCCAGGAAGAGAACTGCAGGACAGTCGCGTCAGGGTGGGCAGTTGAGAACGCCGCAGCTTGCACGTCCAACTCAGCATTCCAGGTTCTGTATATCTGGCTTCCTACATCCTTGTTAGACAGCATACGACCTACATGTGAGGGCACAAAAGGTCAAGTTGGATGTTGCGTGTACGACGGTTCGAGCTCGTACCGATAGGCGAGAGGTGAATTGGTGGTACATCGACGAGAAGAAAGTTGCGTGCGCCTGCCTCATACAGTGCTTCCTGCTCTTTAAAAAGTTCTTTCAAAGAGCTTCCGATAATCTCATCATCGGAGCCTCTACAATTTGATGAGCACAATGACGAAGCGCATAGAGATGAGACGCTCTTTACCCGCAATCGTTGATCCCCACCCAAGTGACTGTAGCATATGTTAATACGTGAGTACACAAGGAAGTGACTCTATCAACCTACTGAAAAGTGTGTCTGTTGAAGACCAAGGTGCCCAGTCAGGCTTTCTCCCTGCTGTAGGCAGGAACCGGTTGCGAATCTGGATTCGGACGCCGGATACGGTGTCTCCTCCCACGGCATAATCGTACACCAGCATCTGGCCATGGGGGGAATAGTTGGTAATTAAGTGACCGACCCAGTTTGCTGTATCGCTCTCAGTCCAGGTGACGCCGGGAAACTCGACCCCGAGTGGCTGGACTTCGGTGGGGTGTGGCGACATCAAAGCAAGATAGCCAACGTCAGAATATGAGTCACCGCTGTTTTCGAAGTTTAAAAACATCAATTTCATTGCAAAGTTGTCGGTCCAAGATGCTCACAAGACTACGAGTCTGGAGATGCCAGCAATCCCCTTCCATGATGGGGTGATATTGTTCGTATGCATCGATGATTGCGATCAGCGTTGGAGAAGGTGCGATATACAATCTTCAGTTACTGAACGTCTATGGGCGGGCTTGAAGCTTGAATGTTCGGTAGAGACAGCGAACCAAGTGGCAAATATCAACTTGCTGGAAATCCCTCGACGGTAGCGCTGGTGGAACGCGTCCACGCGGCGCGTCGAGCGCGTCTATGATTCTCATGGGCACGTGGTCTCACCTTACAAGCAACTACTTTCATCGGAAATACTGTTGTGATGGCCTGGAAGGACAATCACTTCAGGTACGCATCCGTACTGCCTGTCGCGCCACGTTGAGTCAGGTGGCAGGCTCGTATGACACTGGAGATCAGACACCCGCTGCGTCTCATAGCTAGCTGTATCAACAGAGCATGTTGATATGTCAAGGATGATGGTAAGGAGGGTGTATTGATTATTGCCATTTTCAATAGCGACGACTTGTGAACAGGCAAACATTCTCGGTGAATAGCGTATGGCAGAAACAGCGTAGGCGCGATTAGTGCCTTGAAGAGCTCTCGTCATTTTCGACTACGCTTTCCTGTCTCCGGTTCTTTTCATTAGCTTCTTCAGTTGAGTCTTCATTCTCTATCGCAGCTTCATGTGCGCGAGACCTTTGCATTGAGACAGTGAAGATGATTGAGTGGATCATTTATTTAGGGAAAGCACTCCACTGTCACACTTACCAAGTTGATAAAGACGATAGTCTCCGAGCGACGAAGCTGCTCAAAAGGCTCGATGACTGAGCATTATCTGAGTCCTCCTGCATCTCCTTGAGCACTTGGCGTGAGTTGAGTCTGAATAGCAGTGAGCTGCTGTGATTCATTATGATCATGAGCTTTGCATACGTCGCGAGCGCCACGTTTACAGTGACTATCTTTATATTCAGATCTCTATGTGTCGATAAACTAGAGACCGGCGACTTACGTGTGCCAGAGAAACAGTATACACCATCCATTGCTTGTGTCCCATTTGGCTTGTACTGTGAAACATTTCTGTGAACGTACAGCTTTGGGTGACGTGGCTTGAACTGACAGTAACGATGACAAATAGTTGGACGGCGCTGTAACATAATGAACAGCGAATATGCGACAACGATGAACGAATGACCTGTGCCACATCGAGTACTCACAAGAGGGCTATCGCTCGGTTGATCGTCCACATGATGAGTTTCGTGATGACGAACTCCGTCCTAGATGCAACGCGATCAGCGCACAAACGGCACTCGCATGTGCAAGACACCATTTACGCTTGACAGCCCGTCCTAGCGCCATGAAATATGGAACATAGACAGACCGCTATGTAGAAATCGACGGCAAGAACCGAATACCCTTGTATCCGACCAGGCACCTATAAATGCACGACGTTAGCCCGCTTCGAGCAAAAGGCAGGAGCGTGACGGACGTTGACTCGCTCGATGGCGACAATATCGGTAGGACTGGAAAGGCTACCACCAACTGAATCAGTTCCTTCACGAAGAACACGTGCAAATGGAAAGCACTCACATGTCGTAGGCAGTGACTGTACGCGAGAGGCGTGAATATCACAAAGTGCGAGAATTCAGAGAAAAGGGACATACCGAGCCCACAGACTTAACATATAGCACGTCAACAGCGTCTCTGATGTCAATGAGGAATATAAGACGTCATACCGAACGACAACAATGTCAAAAGAGCCTGTGCGATTTGCATCGCGATCAGACTGGACGTCTAGCGATACCATAACTGACAAACTCTTACCCCAATCGTTGTCAACGGCTTACGCAATGGTCTATTCTTAAGTACTGCAATGATATAATGAGCACACGGAACAATTAATCGAAGGAAAGAACTCACGAGTCCAGATATTTCGGATGTATAGACTGTAATGACTGGGTCAGAGTCGTTGCGGAACCATGAGCGGCTCTGACGCACCATTGTACCGCCAACACCGTTGCAGCCTACAGCGTAGATAGTCAGCTAAGAACGGCGCGATTTTGCTACAACCGTACGGTTATTATAAAGTGAACCTTCACGCAATACCATTAGCACTACAGGGAACTGAACGGCCATAGCAACAGAATCTTACGGTGTATGAACTAAGATAGTCAGGAGTTAGCTCCGAATATGGCGATAGCGCATGTCGTTTGACTATGACTCACATAGGAAGTAGAAGGAGCGCAGAAGGATTGCTATGGTTGGCTATGAACCAATACCAAAGCAACTACGACACGTTGAGATGAGAGAGATCAACATATTTTTCAGAAACAACGCGCACCTGGCCATGAAGGAAGTCTTTCACTGTGTCCATCAGCCTGTGAAATGTTGCATATTGGGTGATGATGTCTTCTGTTAGAGGACCAACCATAGAAAGATCACCTGTTCGTAGCGTATCAGCAGTCGATCTGAGAAGAGAAAAGAGAACGGCTTCGCTGACCAGAACCCTTAAAGGGGCACCGTCGTGGTTGGAATTATGAAAGTAATATATCGTCTGAGAGAAAGTGCCGCCGTAGAATCTATAGAAGAAATTGGTTAGATTGGTTAGCTCTGTAAGATCAACGAAACAGCCAGTCATACAGGAAACACAGGAGCATCCCAACGAAAGTCGAGGTGAACGTTGTTTCCGGGCCGAGCGTTGTCCCTGACATTGTGATCAATAGAGGCAACGACAATGCCCGCGAAGCATTATAAGAGACAGAGATACAATTATACGGTTTACTTGCAACCCTAGTACGCCGCCGCTCTTCGAGTGGTTTGTCAGGAGCTCATGTGCTGTGAACGTCAGTAATCCTTGGCTGTTATTGGCTGAGACCTACTTTACTATTTTTGCCAAACCAGTAATCTCTCGACCTGTGGGTAACATCTAGAATTTGGGCGCTCCATCGAAGTCGAAGCAGTGAATGCCAAGAACCAGCCTGGAGGAACTTCCCACCACCAGATCGAGCATTGGAGCGCACGCTCGAATATCGCAAAAAAATTTGACGAGGTATATATTGGCATTATTGGAATGGAACGTTGGGAAGGTTCGAATATGCGATGTAAATTCGACTGTCAGCTGCTGTCCAAGGCCATCGAGGACGTCTGTTGCGACGCGTATTCGCACATACCACGAAAGCTGTGAGTACGTCTTGGGGCCGGTGATGTAAGAGCCGTGCTGGAATGTACTCGGATCAACGTGGTACAGATCTGTAACTGTTTGGGTATTGCAGTTCGCAGGTCAACTCTTTCAGAAACGCACCGTGCAAATACGTATATGCCGTCTGGTCTCGTACCCGTGCGTTCGTCTCTTGGTAAGAAACTCAACGTCTGGGAGTACCAATTATATTGGAAAGCGTGGGCAATAAAGGCGGCCGAATTGGTTGTGGAAGGCTCTGCGTATATATTCAGGCATAATGGCAAGAAGTGAATCGTGCGCAAATTTATGCGCTAAAGCTGTCCCCTTCGGTTTCAAGTCAATCAAGAGTACAGACCTCTCTCCGGCATGGATAGAAGCATCTTAAAATGTTGCTATGATGCTGGTTATGCGACTCTGACCTTCGTACTGTGATAATTGCAAGCGATCCACACGTGGTGGACACATTGCCATGGAGGTGCTGACGGCGAAAATCTGAAATGATGAATGAGCTTAGCCCTTGAATATTAATTGTACGACTGTCTTCGTTGGAGCTCTAGTCAAAGACAAAACAATGAAGCCGATGCTGGCGTTACGAGCTGTTACGAGACGCGTAATGCTGTGACTAGACGCGATTAACGTCACGCTTGGTTCATCGACTCACCTCCCATCTTTTGAAAGAAGGCGAAGGAGACAAATATTCATAAGCGAAATACGGAATCGCGTAATTTTCATGGTTGTTTTCACTAGCCCTGACTGGGTAAATTTAAACATATAATCACGCGTCTGTGGCGTCTGTGGCGCACTTCGGCATTGGCAGGTCAAACTGCTCCTGTCCGCTTTCGTCATGTTCGCCCTGCAACCTTCCAGATGCTCTTGCGTTTCATGACAAACTTGATTCGAGAGCCGATATGCGCTGACTATCTGGCCTTTGCGACGAACCCTCTCCCTGTCGCCGATGAACCTGGTTTCAGGACAAAGGATCCTCCTGTGGTTTATTGGGTTCTCGAATGAAAGTCCTTCCATGATGATGAGCTGGTCTTTTCTGCGGGACGCTGGACACGTGCACCTCTATGTGGTCGAAACGGCCGTTGGTTCCGGCGGACTCGGCGCCAGCTGTTTCAAAACTTCGCGTCATTATGAAGATTGGTGGTGACGACTTGGTTCAGGATTTGCTCTTGCTTTCCATGTTCAAGTAGCTATGGGATTCACATCGGCGCATTCAGACGAGTGATGCCGGCTTAGCCATATGTCAGTGTACGAGCGCTCATGTCACTACCAATCGGCATTCAGGATCTCATCATCGGTGGGGCCGCTGGGCGGTAACACTGGACTGCAGCAGTACTCAAAGCATTTGCGAATCCTGCTTAACATCTGTCGTGTTCGAATTTACAACTTTGTGTTGGTATACCGTGCCATGCCATCTCCACAAGAATGTTTTCTGGCTCGAAACTAGGGCTTCTGAGAATCATCCCATTCCACTATATAGTCTCCGGCGTGTTTACCGACAGCAGCTAGAAACATGTTTTCGACGGTGGCAACTCTGATGTGCCTTTCGGAGGCTGCACAATGCCTTCAGCCGTCCAACATCACGATATTCATTAGTCACACAGCAACTTTGACAAGCTCATCATGACGTCGTTGTTCGCGCCAACGGTCGCTGCGAACGTTTATGGGTGTCCTGGTGCGTGATATGCATGGTGCTATCGTCTCTGATCAGTCGAGAACACAGTGGGTCTATCGGAGATCGTTGAGCAGAAGACATGCCTCACATTGTATCATTCTACGTCAAGAAGCAGTGCGTGAGGTGTTTTCCATTGAATCGATTATAAACAATAAATCAACCGCGGGTGCCGCCCATGGTCACCGTACCTAGCACTTCAGATAAACCCGCGCTGACACAGGTGTAACACCGGGATTACGCGACATCTCCCGCGTACAGCCTCGTTTATCTGTTGCACATTTTTAGTCCCATCATTGAGCGCCATCTCAGCCGAGCCGGAGTAGATGAAATAGATAAGACAGGTCTGTCCTTCATTCCGTATTCATTCTTCCAATACGACTCATGATGTATCCTGAATTGCCGCTGAATAGCACTGCAGGATGCAGTTTCATTGGCATGTTCTTCTCGTTCATGTGCGTCTCGTTATTCCCCAGACTATGTGCAACCACTCTCAACGACTTATTGCAGACTGTATGGAGGCACATTAGCCCAGACAAGTTTCTACTTCCACCGCTACACCGAAGATAGAATGACTCTGAAAGCTCTGGTTCGTACTCAATCGATCTGACTCCGAATGGGTTGAATACACGTGAGGCGCAGGTGGCATTTATGTGGTATGTCGTTGCATACACCAAGACACACTGAGACGTTACCATGTGAGCAGGTTGCTTGACACAGTCAAGGAAGGCGTAGTTGGGCAGGTCTGTGACAATGTTTGTCTTGAGAGCGGACTCTGACGCTTTGTGCCAGCTGCTTTGGTTCAGTGTTGTTCAGGGCCATGCCAATATCAAGTCTTTGTCGAAGATAGACCGGTGCGTTTCCTCTGTGTTGATTGCCATTTCTGCGTGTTGAGTACCCTTTTCTAGGGCTTATGGAGTGCGTGATTCTTTCAACTATGATGTACTACCGATATTCATCGTATTCATTCCAGGCGGAACATGCGCTCGCGGTTTGTGTGCTTCGAGAACGTGTCTATGCGAATCATTCGCTGACTCGCACCTCAGGCAGTGACCATTTTCATTGTGCAGTGGTTTGTCAAGCAACATACAATCGCAGAATATTTAGCTGAAAAGAGATCGCAGCTTCTACTTACGAACATTCCTGCATCGTGCGTACAGTCAACACAGTAATTTCTTTCGTTTTTCTCACGGACTTTTGGTAGTACTCCCTACACATCGTCTACGCATACCCGTCGTAGTGTGTGGTGTGAGTACGATATTGATCGCCCATTCCGAACTAACGTACATCGTTAGTTGATCTTAGCAGTCGCCTCGTTAGGTGAGCGTCCCCCAATTCAACGCTATTTTGCGTAGACTGACTGCAATGTAAAGCTGGGAGTATTGGTTCGTATCCGATACATCTTCATTCAATTCATAGAACCGAGCTCAGAATGACATCTGTAGGGGTGATCTACGAGGTGTAAGCATGCAAAGAACAGGTATCTTTATGCAGTGCTCATGTTTGTTCCGACTGCCTTGGTTAAGGTATTCGAACCCCACAGCTCAGAGTGTCTCCGTGCACGTCAAGGTACATGAACGTATTGCAAACCTTCATGCCGAACAATTGATCATCCCTAGATTCCTGGGAGAGTACAATCCGTCTTTGCGCTGGCAAGTGATGTCTACATTACGACATCCTTGTTCTGCATCCTCTATGCTGCCCGGTCGACGTGAGTAACGATTGTCCCGAGCAGTTCACTTCATTAACATGTTTCAGGATAACCTCCACTACAACAGGAATTCTCACAAAGCTCATAGTCTATACGGTTCACAGAGGGGTACTCCTTTCGTGAGTATAGGAGGTTTTTGTTATACCGCTAGTCGACTCATAACAACGTCGTCCTTCGTTAAGCGTTCTCCAAGTCCTCCAAATTGCTACAGTATGTGGTCGACCACTTTTCAAAGACTACGTGCCTTTCATGTTGTCTTTCAACACTTCCCCATAACAGTACGAGGAAACAGGCTCAGAATTAACAGACATATTCTACTTTCCTTCAAGTACATGTGAGCTTTAGCTGCTCTGTAATGGCGTGCCGTAGGACTGATCATCATGTCAAGTGTACGTAAACACACTGCTTGCCGTGTATGTACTCCCCGTGCAGCTGCTTTCGCTACGGGGCCCGAGAGACGCTGAACATCAATTTATAGGTTGAACGCGCGCCAACACGTCAGAGCATTCGACGCCGATTGTCAGGACCGCTATTCGATTCCATTGGCAACCATTCACACGGAACAGCCCACGCCTTGAAGAACGGAGCCGACATTAGCTCTGAGGATGGTCCGCTCAATTTCATGTTCCGATGTGGACCTCAACTTGCTGACAATGATGATCACTCTCTCTTCCATGCATTTCTGTATGAAAGCTTACTTGAACCCTGTTGATACCTCAACGGGAGCCGCCGCCATGACTGGAACTTATAATTTCGAGGTAGTACCTCATGTATAGCCTTTCAAAGAACCGTTTATGCTGTCAAACCTACTGCTCTGCTGGCGAGAGCAATCCGGGATCGCCCTTAGAGAACATGCAGATATGTTCAGCTTGGATATATGATAGTGATGTATAAAGAGCGCCTTGGTGCTGGTAGCGCCCGCGGGCGGTGCAGTAGATGGGATCATGTTATGGGCGCATCTTCGAAGGTCTTCCGAACACTGCCAATCGACATCCAAGCTCCCACGCGCAGACCCTCAAACGTGATGGAGTACCGCCTTTATTCTCACACGTTGGCAGGTGCTACTGTCAGCAAGTGGTCAACTATTGACGGCTCGACGTGGTCTCAAGTAAATAGTAAACTGATCCCCTGCATCGTGCACACAAACACTCGACAAATTCTTGTTTGGTTCTTCGACTGCTCAGACAGTGGACCCAAACTTTCGAATGTAGTATGGATTCCGTCGCTCTCATCTATGCTTCTATCGCATTTGCGATCTTCTACCTTCTGGTCTCTGCTGTACGCCAACCTCAAGTGCGTATACCTATTAAGCCATAGGAGTGTATACAGCGGTGTCTAACGCTCAAGGGCAAGTTGCGCCACATTCCAACGGTCGGAGGCCCCTCTTTGCCCATATTATCCTACTTCGGTGCCTTGAACTACCTCTTCCATGCAGCGGACATTTTGCAAGAAGGCTATACGCGGGTACGTTATTGGTTCCATGCCCGATACACAGTCATCCTGATGTGAGCACATTTGGTTGTTTCAGTACAAGGACGGTATATTCAAACACGCAGAGTTTCGCGGATGGCACGTCATCGTGACTGGATCACGACTGACTGACGAACTACGCAAAGCTTCACATGACGAACTATCCTTCGAGGAAGCCATTGTTGATGTAAGAGGTCCTCTCAATCCTGTACAGTCAGTCGCACTTTATATGACATGCATTTCAAGACTCTCGCGGTCGACTACACACTCGGGCCAAATATCCAGCGCAACACCTATCACGTACCGATTATTCGCTCACAGCTGACCCGAAACCTTGCATCTCTCTTTCCGGACTTGCGCGACGAGATTGTTGCTGCATTTGAGGATGAGATTCCTTTGAAGGACGAAGGTACGTAGTCACTCGTCTGAAGGTTGACGTTATGTACGATGATATTCGTCGCAGGTTGGACCAACATCCCTGCAAATGCTGCCATTACCCAGATTGTGTGCAGGACTAGCAACCGCTTGTTCGTAGGGTTGCCAAAATGTAATGTGTCTTCGAAGACTCTCTGGGCGGCTTTCTGGCAGAGCTAACTGATTTGTCAGGCAGGGATCCAGACTATTGTGAGCTGAACAAGAGATTCACCATCGACTTTATCCAAGGAGCTGCTATCATCAATCTCTTCCCGCGGTTGCTCAAGCCGTTCGTTTGGCTTAACGTCCTCCTGTGTGAAATCCTATTCTCATGGCTACGCGCAGGATCGTCGCACGGTTTCTCACAAATGTTCCCCGAAGCGTGGACCGTGGTTTGAAGCACTTGGGCCCCATAATTTCGGAAAGGTTTGAGAATATTGAGAAACTTGGGGAGAAGTGGGCAGAAAAGCCGGTAGGCGCAACTTTCGCATACCATGACTGATGAGATACGCTCACATTGATGGCTACCTTATTCTCCCTATAGAACGACCTTCTCCAATGGCTGATTGACGCATCCCGCGGAGAGGAGCACTCAGTTCGTGCATTGGTGCTACGTATGCTAACAGTGAACGTCGCTGCTATTCATACATCATCGATGGTCAGTGTGTGCGCTGACCGATGAATACGAACACTAACGGCTTCTCAACGCATCTCTAGACCTTCACGCATGCGCTGTTCTACCTTGCAGCATACCCAGAGTATGTGCAGCCATTACGGGAGGAAGTCGAGGCCGTCGTGACACAAGAGGGTTGGAGCAAAGCAGCGATGATTAGAATGCGCAAGGTCGACAGCTTTCTCAAGGAGATCAACCGGGTCACTGGGGTTGGCGCAAGTAAGTACATTTGCCCGTTATCTGCAGTGGCCGATATCTTAATGGTGTTTCCTTGGCTGTCAGAATCGCTGAACCGTAAGGCCATGAAGGACATCACGTTCTCAGATGGGACATTCATACCGGCTGGAACATTTGTGTCAGCCGCATCTCGCGCAACGCATTTCGATGAAGGCATCTATCCGGATGCCTTGAAGTTCAATCCATGGCGGTTTTCGGACATGCGCGAGTGCCAGGGGGAGAGCACGAAGCACCATATGGTGAGCACGAGCGTGGACTATCTTTCCTTTGGGCACGGACGACATGCATGGTGAGCATTCATTGTTGTCTTATGGAAAGCGATCATATAGACCTCACTCGATCGTATAGTCCGGGTCGATTTTTTGCTGTGAACGAGCTGAAGGCGCTCCTCGCTCATGTCGTGGTGACTTATGACGTGAGGTTGGGGAAAGAGGGCGAGTTGCCATCCTCGACGTGGTTCGGTCCAACGTTGGTGCCGAACACGAAGGCGGAAGTCATGTTCCGCAAACGACAGTCATGAAGCCAGACTTCGGTCTGTTCATGATTGCATCTGCACTTAAAGATTTGACGGTGATCCTGAGGCGTACTTTGGACATTTCTCAATGAACGAGAGATCAGAAGGCAGTCGTGTATCGTTGCTTGATAGAAATTTGTGAGATTTTATAGCGTATAAAGGAAGTTATCATAGAGTCGGGACTGAAGCTCGATCGTAGGTCAAGAGCCCGTACGAGAAACGAACGTTATCCTACATACTGGCATGTCTCAACCCCGCCTACTCCTAAACAAAACCTTGAGCTTCAGGTCAGAGATGAGCAGGACGCCGAACCAGCTTGACTTGAGAAATACACCACTATCTTCGTCTTGACCTCATACGCGAGCATGACATGAGTCAGCAGGGCCTTCAGCTCATTGGCCGCATAGGGCTAAAGAGATACTCAGTGAAATGAACGAAGAGATGACAGAATCCGAAAGTGGTCAGGTGAGGGCTTAGGCTAGAGGCAGTGATAGCTCCTGTAGGCTCGAGCGCTATCAAAGACCTGTCCCGATCCGACCTCCTTCAAGAACGAATGAAGAGGGTGGAAGAGGAGGCTGGTACGGTAGAGGCCGATTAGACATGAGACCTTTTTCATCTGGTACTTTGTAGCAGCCTGCTGCACGGCTGCAAGCAAGCGCATGTCGTCAATGGCAGGTACGCAAGATGGGTCATAGAGCTGTAGAAGGAGACGAATCGTGGCGCTGTCTTGTGAGAGCGAGAGGTGGGTCAACGTCGCTCCCTCGCGTGGCTATTCTTTTTCAGCACCCTGAAGCATCTGCTCGAGAACGGGAGAAGAAAGGGCGATCAATTTAGAATGCACTAGAAACTGCTTCCCATCTGAGGCTACTCAAACGACGTCAGCATCGTTGTTGTCACAAGCTCGCAGGCAGTCATAGGACGCCGGAGGGGTCTGTACAGCCGGGAGATGGGGAGAACCAAGGCAAGTGAATGTGGTGCCCTCTACATCTCCGCCGCTGCGCTGACACCGGAGCAGCCGCAAGTAGCAGCCCACCTGGAGCCGTTCCAGTTCGTCGATGTAGACACGATGCAAGGCGGGGATTTGCAGCATAGCCTGGGCTGCCGCTCGCGTTGCCCACTGTGCCTGGCTGAGACGACATGCAAGGACAAATGCCTGCATCGGGTATCTCCTCGCTACGATGCCGAAGATGCTCCACGCGTAGAGTGCCATCACATCTAAGCGGTACTTCGATGCTCTCCAAACCGCCTCGATGAATGGCAAGGGCTATCGGCTTACCATAGCAGGCGCAGAGCAGGACTTCTGCAACCTCTCTATCTTCGTCAATTTCAACGATGTTGGATGTAGCTGCACACCGCTCGGACGGACTGGGAAGGAGTTCTGCGAAGTGGGGCGATGCACGACGAAGCTTGTCGGAATGGACTTGCTAAATCGTCCCATCGGACGATCGCAGATGAACGTCTGCATGAGCATTTCTGGATAGGGGATGAATCACCAGTCGCTTTGAGAGGTCAGCACGAGGAGTTGAAGTCCATTCAAGATACGTCATACCTCTCTTGCGCGACGTCTCCCTTCTTCCGCAAGACGTCGCGCCCCTTCTGCACGATGTCCTTCTCGGTGATGTAGTTCTTCCATACGACGTCGCGCCTCTTCTGCACGATGTTCTTCTTGGCGACATAGTTCTTCCATACGATGTCGGGCCTCTGCAGCATGTCCTGCTGTCGACAAAAACAGCGTCTCAAGGAAACTCATGGAGCGTGCTACCATGAAATCTTGAGCTACCCGTGTTGCGCGGGGATACTTCGCGAAGTCAGGCTTCTGAAGGCATTTCGAATGTTTGAGCGGATCGAGTCAGATAAACCATGAAGCCTCCTATTCACTGCAGAAAGCTTGTCTGCACTGACGAACGGTACCGGTGAGGGGGTGAGAAAGCTGAGTGCAGCGATGACGACTCAAGAGGCATTGTATCATGCTCAGCGCTCAACGTCAACACGCCACCGCCGTCAGGCCACCTGCCTCCCGGTTGAGAATGCCTCCGTAAGGCCGTGGACACCGTGATGCCACTCGAGACGCTTAGCGCCCATGGAGCGCTCATCGACATTCGTGGAATTCGCCGTCCCTTTTAGGGTGTCCGCGAGGGGATGGTCCGAGACTAGTAGTAGAGGTGGCAGCCGGGATAGGCCTTCCTGATCTGCTCCTCGAGCCACCAGTACGGGGTCCCGTAGGTTACGTCTGTCTCGTCGGTTGTGCCGCCACCGCCGGTGAGCAAGGCGACGATGCGGCCAGCCCTGTCGAGGATGATGGCGCCGGAATCCCCTGGGGCGGAGAAGGGGCCACGCAGCTTGTCGTAGGGCAGGATGGCGGTCTCGATGGAGGTGTGCTCGATGCCGTAGTCGGTGTAGACGCGAGTGAAAGACTCGCGCCCATTGGCGCGACCGATGGTGGTGCCCGTGGTCAGGCCGTTCTTCACTACAAGGAGTGCCTTCTCGCCGTGGACGTCGAGGTGCTTGGGCTGGCGGATCTCGTCGTCCTTCACGACGCCAAAGGCCTGGAGGAGCCCATCGTCCGGGTACTCGTAGCCTGCCTGGTCCTCGGGCTGCGGGAACATGAGCTTGCCAAAGTCAGAGGGCGAGAGGTTGCCACCTGCGGGGATATAATAGTCAGCCAAAACTGAACTGCGGGACGAGATGGGAAACGTACCGACGTAGACCTTGTTTCCCGGGAAGGTGTTCCAATCGATCTTCTGATTGTAAAGCTGGATAAAGGCCCAGTCGCGCGTAAACTTGTTGGGCCCGTCGGCGACGACGATGGGCTCGGCGTGGAGGACGAAGCCGACGATACGCTGGTTCAGGTTCATCCAGCGTTTAGTAACCTCATCGTGAAGCTTGTTCAAGTTGTCGATAATCTTCGTCGCCTTCTCCACCTCGCGCTGGTTCTCCTCGCGCTTCTCGGTGATCGCCGCATCCTCGCCATTGACGAACTCACCCAGCCTGGTGATCGCCTTCTTCCACACCGTGACGGAGCGAGCAAGGTCGCCGATGGCGGCCATCATGGCATTCGTAGCATTCCGATAGCCCATGTTGCCGAGGGCGACGATCTCCTCGCGTGGCTGGCTGGGTTGCTTGCGCGCCATGCCCTTGTTGGCGTACGCGGGAGGAGGGCGAGCGACGTGGGCAGCGGTGAGAAGGACGACGCGCTCGTCGTCTTTGCTGAGGCGGAAGTAGAGGGCGCCGGTGCCCTCGTAGTGGGGCGTCTTGAGCGGGGCGATGGAGAGGCCGAGTGTGGGCGTGAAAGGCTTGCGGAACTCGGGGATGGGATCGACGAGGGGGTTGAACGGGAGGAGCTTCGGACCAGCAACAGAGTGGGTCACCTCCGACTCCCGAAAAGCAACCTCGATCTGGGGGAAGCCGGCTAGACTGAGGATACCCTTGATGGCGTCGGCGGCAGATACCGCAGCGTCGAAGAGAAGAGTCTCGTGCTTCACGCCGATCCACATAAGGAGCGGACAAAACGGCGTCTTCTCCCCGGCGTTGGCGAAGGCGACGGGGTCGATGGAGGTCCACATGACGCTGCAAGAGTCGAGGAACTTGTAGATGTCCGTACCAATCTTGAGCCAGGAGCCTGCGATAGGGTGGCCGTAGACAGGGCGCACCTCGCGGATGAAGCGCTGCGCTTGCGGACCCTGCCGTTCAGGCCACGCAGGGCCCGACTTGTAGATGCAGGGAGCACCGCTGGGCATACCGAAGAAGTCTTTATAAGCGGCGGGGTAACGGTCGGTGAGACGGGCTCCGAATGTTTTCGAGTTTGCGAAATGTGCGAGCGCCATGGCACACTCAACCTTCGCATCGGCGCGCGAAGTGGCATGGAGGGCCACCCGCAGAGATGCTTAGCGCCCATTGAGCGCTCATCGGGTGAAGGAGACTGCAATTGCGCCTTGAAGGCACACCTCCCGAGACACTCTGAATCAGCTAAGAGCTATCTGCATGGGAGGCTTTACTACGTTCAGCCACCGGCGCACCACGATCTCCTGAAAGCTCCTGCGCGGTGGCCTGCAGATATCTCGTAGAACAGGACCCAGCAGGCACCTCTGGGAACAAGACTATCTACTTTGAGAGAGTAAGGACGCCCTGAAAAACTATTATATACGCTCATCTTGCAGGCTTCTCCTCCAGCATCCTCTCATTCTGTCACGCTCTCACCCAAGCATATTCTCGTCATGCCCATCCTCTGTCTCGTGAAGGAAGGCCAGAGCCCGAGTCGACTGTTCAAGAGCCATTGGGCCCTCCTAGTCACGAGCGGCAGCTTCGCCGAGCCTAGAGATGCTGCGGGGATTTACATACCATACACGTCCACGGCTCTGTCGCCTCAGGCTTTGAGTTCGAGGCCAAGAGGAACTGGCGACAGAACATAACTGGGACGCCATATCGCTTCCACGTCCTGGGCGAGGTCACCGCTGCGTCCGTGCAGTCCGATCCAGCTGCAAGAGATAGCGAATACGTCCAGGACGCCGAGGCGAAGACTGACTTTGAGCGGACACTCCTTCAGACGCCACCGGGCCCCTCGCTTATGAGCGCCAATGTAACGGTTGGACCGCAGCAGTATTCAAACTCTTCGTTCAAATTTACAATTGCCGAGTTGGCATCGGATGCAATGGTGTCCCCAGAGGGAACCCTTCCTGCCTCAAAACTGAGAGCTTCTGAGAAGCATTTCGTTCTGCTGATTATCTCCGGCATGTTCGGCGGCGGCAACTCGGATGCACTTTCCGAGGCTGCACGATCCCTTGATTCGTCCGACGTCATGATATTCATCAGTCTCACAACAACTTCGACAGGCCGGCGCTGATAACATTGTATGTCTGCACCGATCTCCGAGTTGCTGCGAAACTTCATGTATGGGCCGGGATGCTGTCAGAGTTCAATGAGCAGAAGGCTTACCTCACACCATAACATTTTGCATCAAGAAGCAATGCGTCAAGCTTCAAGTGTCAGCCAACTATCCACGGGCGCATCCCGTGATCAGATGAAGTCGCACTGACACAGATGAAATCAACCGATGTCTCCCGCGTTGAGTATTGTTAACCCCGTCATCGAGCCGCCATCAATGACAGGTGACAGACTAATAAAATGATGTGGGCGCTCAACTGCATTGCCTTATAGCAAAAGTTCACCATCGAACAGGATTCATACACATGTACTATTGCAAATGGCATCGCAAATGCCCTGTACCTGCGGTATAAATTCTGCAATTCATCGATTATCATTGTTATCACTCGACGCCGACCGAGGAGACACGTCCCTTCCTTTCACCAATGGTCATGTCTGTCCTGGGTCCAAAGCTTGGCTGCACGTTCATTGGCATGCTCTTCACTGCATTGTGAGCCTTTCCAGTGCCCTACCTTGTACTCTCGCTGACTCTTGATATGCAGACTATACGGATGTACTGCGGCTCAGATGATGTACTATTTCTGCCATTATCATACTGATCACAGATATTTGAAGCTAATGGTAACAATCTGCCTTTGTTTCATGTCCATAACTCACGGCTCTCATGTGCAGGTCACCATTCTATGGTTTGTTTCATCATGCCATCTTGAAGGATGCAGCTCAGGCCCAGCTTGGCTGACAGGATCCTGGATACTTCGAAAGTCGGCGTAGATATGCAGGTATGTAGGATGCAACCTTATTTGTTCGGGTTCTCACGGATGAGTCAGATTTTGTATTACACGCTGGTGCGGGAGCACGGCAACCCATTCGGCCTCACGAGTCCAAAGTGAGCATGACCAGGGTCCCTTCCGCCGACAACTGCTAATAGACCGCCATGCAGGTCATTCGCAGTGCGCTCTTTCTGCTTTCTACTGTTCGTCGACTCACTTCCCCTGTGAGGCTCAACACGTCCTTTCGGTGAGCATACTCTCGTGAGCCGATTCTCAACTAAACATGCTTCAGGGGATATCCACATGCATTGTCCAAGGGTATGTCTCCGTCCATGCAGTTTATTGAATCGACATTGACGTTCTAAAGCTTCTACATACGTACCATCTGGTTCCGTGAGTAATGATATCCGTTCGCTTGCAATCCGAATCGTTGTTCATCCCTCCTCTTAGTCCTACCCGTTCGCAGGAGGATCGTATGGGTCTTATACACCTTGCTCACTGTAAGTCATTGACACCTAGTGTGTGCTACGAATCTGAAGTGTCTCAGGCCACGTTATGTCTCACGGCACTTGGTAAGCCCGGAGCCCATTATGTAGAACCATGAAATGATTTCCGTCTGTTTAGCAGGTAGCATTGGTACGCTTTTATGGTTGTTTTTGATCCGCTGTTGTACTACAGCTGACACAGTTGTGCAGTCGTTGCATACGGAACGTACGTTGTCATTGGTGCTCATAGATGGCCGTGAAGTAAATTTGAACCGCCCTGCTTCTCATAGATATGAATACTCAAACGTCGACTGGTCCATAGCTCATTTGAGTGAGAAGGTAAGATTACTCCTTTATTGCACTGCTCAGATCATATGTCACCCTCTCATGCGTAGGCTGGAGGACTCCTCCAAGGTTGGGCATCGTGGGTAGCTGACATTTGCATATCTGTCGCGCTATGCTACTTGTTGCACGAGTCAAAGGAACGAAGCAAGATTCCCTCGTGAGTGCCATCTTATTTACTCGTCAACATATCATGCCAATGATGGCTTGCTCAGTTCCCAGAACATGATCTCGAAGCTGCTGGTCTACGCGGTCAATCGCGGCATCATATTATGGTTTGTAGTCAGACACGTGGCCCGCAAATGCCTAACTGAGCACTCCGTATCTGTTCACTTAGCGTTTTGTGGACCTTGCAACTTATCACCGTGAGTCAGACGGTATCATTGGCTGCGTAGAAATGTTTGATTTTCTGCATAGTATGCCAAAGATTTGACCGGCGACACCGTCATTTCGGTACTGATCTACTTTCCGTCAAGTACTTGTAAGCAGCAAAAGAATTATGTTGCGATATGTTCGCGCTAATGGTTTTCTAGTGTACATCAACTCAGCGATGGCAATGTAGGTCTTTGCTCTCTCTGCTGTCTCGCTAAAGGGTGCTCAGCGGCCCTACGACAGGCTGAACGCACGAGCTCAGTTGAGAGAGCATTACGATTCAGGAAGTGGACACGCCATCCCGCTCGATATTCTGTCGACTTGAGCCGTATGTTCGAGTAAATATGTGGGAATCATCTAAGATGGCAATGTTGATAGCTCTCGCAGGCTGGAGGAGAACGTTGTCGAAGTCTTGAGCTACCCCTTATCGGATCAGAGTTGTGGGAGGCACAACTTATGTGAGAATTCATTGATAGTCGTCTCGAGTTGTCCACGACATTCTAGCGGCATTCTGTAACATTGTCTTTACATTCGGCAACCTACGCAATGTATGTTCATGAATATAACAGTAGCATCCAGGGTACTCAGCCTGTCTTCCTTCGGAACAGGGTGAGGCCAGTATTCAGAAGCGAAATATATACATGTTTTGTTTTGTCTCGGCCCTAATTAGACAAATTCAAGCGTCATCAGCTTTTGCAAGTCAAACTGCTGTTGTTCTCCTTCGCAGTCATAGTTCATGCTCATTGCGAGTCAGACATCACATATTCATACCGGCCGAAACGTTTGTATCGGCCACATCCCTTGCAACGCACTTAGATGAAAGCATCTTCCGATGCTTTCGAGTTCAATCCCTGGCAATTTGCGACATGTGTGAGCGCCATGGCACACTCAACCTTCGCATCGGCGCACGCACGAAATGGCGAAGCAGTCGACGCCACCGCCGTCAGGCCACCGCCTCCCGGTCCGGGCTGCCGCTCGGGACGCTTAGCGCCCATTGAGCGCTCATCGAGTGAAGCAGACTGTGCAGTTGCATCTTGAAGGCGTACCGTATTCATCACGGCGGCTTCCGTCACCTCTGGCAACACTGATCTGAGCTAGTCCTATCCCGAAACACTCTGACTTAGCATAGCTCTGCAGGAACTTTACTACGTTCAGCCACCGGTGCGCCACAGCCATAGTTCAAGACTCGAGAAAGCTCCCGCGGGCTGGCTCCAGATATCTCTCGTAGAACAGGGCCCAGCAGGAACCTTCCCCGAGAGAGTGACTTGTAAGTGCGGTCGAGCCTCCATAGATGCCCCGAAAAACCATTATATGCGCTCACCTTGCAGCCTTCTGCTCCAGCTTCATCCGATCATTCAGTTACACTCCCACCCAAGCGTCTTCTCGTCATGCCCATCCTATATCTTGTGAAGGAAGGCCTGAGCCCCAGTCGACTCTTCAAGAGCCATTGGGCCCTCCTCGTCGCGAGCGGCAGTTTCGCCGAGCCTGGAGATGCTGCGGGGACTTACATACACGTCCACGGCTCTGTTGCCTCAGGCTTTGAGTTCGAGGTCAAGAGGAACTGGACACAGAACATAACCGCGACGCCACACCGATTCTTCGTCCTGGGCGAGGTCATCGCTGCATCTTTGCAGTCTGATTCAGCTGCACGAGATAGCGAATACGTCCAGGACCCCGAGGCGAAGACTGATTTTGAGCGGACGCTCCTTCAGACGCCACCTCCGGGCCCCTCGCTTAGGAGCGCCAACGTAACGTGCTTTACTTTATTTTGATTGCGCACACTCATGCTTGAGATGCAGGCACCGAGTGGTGGGAATAGTCGGGTCGAGCTACGTGACTGTCAGGATTGGATCAAGGCGGCCCTGAAGAACGCCGTTACTGCGAGATATGTTGTCTTGAACGACGAGGCGGAAAGCATCTTGAGCGTGAATGCTCAGTAATCGCTCCCTTCAAATTTCAATAAGGTTCTCGCATGTCGAGATGGCAAGTGTCTGCCCTTGAACTTCTACAGTGTATGCGATGTTTTCTTGTTTATACGATATACGAGTCAGCAGATGTGGCAGTGAAAAGGATTGTGGCGCGGTGGGATAGTCTCGGTGCTATGCGTTTGTGTATACTATGTGATCGTCTTCTTTGCACCACACAAGCGTCCCAGTAAATCGACCAAACACCATGAGTTGTGATGCATATGTTGCAGTCACCTCAGTACGAGTACCTCACTGATGAAGGTCAGGAATGCACAGACCGCCATCATTTAGCGCCATGATTCAATATGCCCCGAAGCTAGTAGCGCTCAAGTAGGCGCCGGCAAGTTGGCTAACACCCGACTGTTCCTCTCATGGCCCCCACCGTCTAATTCCCGACGCGAACATCGTGCTCGATGCAGCAGCCTGTCATCATTTCAGTCGAGTCAATACCTCGAGACGACACGATCTTCTTCAAGGACTCGACGTTCTTCACGCATCACACCCTTGCCGATCTTCCCTCCAAGGAGCAGATCATTGCGGCTGCTCTTCCTGGTTACAGCAATGCCGTTTCCCTGTTCCCCTCGTTGTCGCTTGCGGTCAAGCGTATCAGGGGAATGGCGTACGGGGAGTGTCTGGCAGAGCCACAAAGTTTGTGGGCGCTGCGCCGGTTCGTGCCCGAGGTGCGCGTGCCTGAGGTGTACGGGTGGCGGCGCGAGGAACACGCCACATACCTGTTCATGGAGCTCATCGATGGGGTCACACTTCTAGAGAGGTGGCCATCGCTCCAAGAGCACGAGAAGACCGCCATATGTACGGAGCTGGGCATGATGGTTCGTGCTCTCCAGCGCACAAAGCGTCCTTCCGGAGACAAGTTCATCGGTGAGCACCTTCAATGGCCTTAGCCATCATCACTCGCGTCCAATTGATGTGAGTGAACGGACTGCAGGTACCATCAGTGGACAGGTCTCCGCCGACAGGATGATTCATGGCCGCAAGGAAAAGGCGTTTCCGGACGCTCGCACGTTCTACGAATTCTTCATGCAAGTACTCGAGAAAGATCGAGAGAAGGCCTACCAGATCGGCATGCCCCGGCTCGATGATGACGCTCCAGTCGTGTTCACGCACGGAGACCTGTACTTTAGTAACATCATGGTCTCACGCACTGAGGCCCGGGTCATGGCAATCATCGATTGGGAACAGGCGGGCTGGATGCCGCAGTTTTGGGAGCATGCGAAGGTTCGGCTACTGATGATGTGGCAGGACAATGCTGTGGCGGATGACATGTTGAAGTACTTTCCGTCTGTTGTTGATGAAATCAACGAGGACGTGTTCAAGGCATTCGTGTACTATGTGGATGCATGGGGCAATTATTGATCTTCTTGCCGTTGAAACAGTTGAAACACACCACGATGCATGATCTTATGATCTCAACGTGACGTATCTGATTTTGCGTACCACCCGCGTGGCTCTATCAGTGTGACCACTCTTTCCTGTCTTCCGCGACTCTCTTTTGCTGTGGCGCACGCATTCTCCCTTGCAGTTTCCCGAGTCTCATGCATGCTATGCTTAGCAGCCTGCAGTCATCGTAGTATACAGGGGTGGCATTTTTCGTCCATGTTGTGTAATACATACGTTTCGAGAGGACGCAATGACGACAAATTAGTATTCTTGAGAACAAGGTGAGTGCACAAGGTACTATATTGGGCTTGATGTCGTACTGTATCAAAGACACCATCAGAGCTTGGGAATGGATTTGTCCCTTGCACTGTTCACAAACGGCCGACTGCTCAGACGGTAGACCCAAACTATCAATTTTAATGTGGGTTCCATTCAATGTTAGAGTCTATGCTTTTATCGCATTTGCGATCTTCTACCTTCTGGTCTCTGCTGTACGCCAATCTCAAGCGCGTATGCGTTTCAAGCCGTAGGAATATATACAGCAATATCTTACCTCAAGGGCAAGTTAAACCACATGGAAAGGCGCTTTGTTCGTGGTAATTCAACCTTCTTTCAGCAGCAAAAATGTCGAAGGCGGATCTGTACATACCTAGTCCTACCCAAATCTGCGCAATTCTCGCAATATCTACCTCGTCTGGCAGACTACATAATGCCCATGCTTATCTGTAACCCCTTGGGGTTTGACTACCCTCATCGGGCCAGGGCTACCACCATCGGGCCAGGACTACTGCCAGCCAGTCAGGCTATGACAGGCAATTCCCTCTCCTGTCAGGCAATGTCAGGTAATGCCAGGTGAGGCCCAGGGAATGCCGGGCAATTTCCATCAGCTCAGGTAATGCAGGAAACCCATTGTCCAGATAGATACATTATTCACCATACAGCTTCCATTAGAATAAACTCGATTTAATACATATTTTATTCATAATTATTACAGTGAATGCAGCAGTCATACATGCATGGAAAGAAATTTGCAATCTGTTACAAAACAGAGGTATTGGAATGAAAGGGTATGATATGCAGTACCGAGCAAAAGATTCACAAACGAGTGAGAAAGCGGACCTGTGAGCATGCAATAGAGAAAGTACAAAGGACTGACGGTGAAATCGACACTAGTAACATAACAGTGAGCCCACAGACTCGACGGGGAAAGACAGACAACACGTACGATTTTAATCCAGTTCCTCAAGCTCTGAGGCTTGTACTCGCATCGACGGGCTCTTCAATCTCTGATCTACCATCCTCGCTTGACAGAGGAGGAGTGGCAACCTGTGTCATGGCACGCCTCGCAGCACGCTGCTGTGCGAGGAGACCTAGCGAAGATGGGCCCACATATAGTTGAGCTGAGTCCTCGCTGCTTGCGCGAGGTCCCTTTCCAAATACTTCACTATAAAGAAAATATGTCAGTAACAGGCGAAGCTAATAATGGGTGAACTTACGCATTGTACCAAGCAAGTGTCTTCTCATGCCACTCGGGGTCTTCAAAGAGAGCGAGGATGAAATTGAAGAATTCTTCGCTGCAGAAGTCGCCGTCTGCCTCAGTCCATTCGAACTGGGAGTTTGCTGCAAAGCGAGCCTGCAATGAAAGTGGAATGAGATCAGGATACTAGAAATTGAAATCGCGTACCAAAGTTACAAGATACGCAATGTTGTATTCATTGCATTCTTTCATGCGGTAATTGTAGGTGATAGGGTTACGTCCACCTCCCTTCTTGTGCTCACCAGGGACCTTGTTCCTCGGCAGTTTGCCACTGCGAGGTCCCGTGAACAGCGCTCGAAAGCACTAGATAGCGATAAGCGTGGCAATACAGATAAACCTATCACTTACCGAAGCCAGCAGGTCACTCTTCAAGGCATTTTCATCGACAGCACATGGATTGTAACCATTCTCGGGATAGACCATCGATGGGAGGTCTGTGGATGCAATGAAAATCTGGCCCTCGAGGACATCCTTGCAGAACCTGAAAACCTCACACTCAGATAAGATAACATCGGCAGAAAGGTGAGTAACTTCTCGGGTTCCTCATCGAAGTGTTTGCGCATTCGACGAGGGCATAAAAGATGTGCAGTCGCGAAGTGATGGAATCCTCGTGCTTCCTTCGGATGCTCAGAGTCAATGTACGGAATGTTTCTGATTGTCGGAACAAATCTTAATATGTTTTTCTTTACATTGCTGAGGTCGTCCATGCGTGCCGAACGGGCCTTGTGAGACAGCTTGAGAAGAAAGATGTGTATTGTGAGTAATTAAATTCATAAGCTGCAGCAACTCACGAAGGTGGTGAAGTGAACAAGGTCTTCTGGCTCGTTCTCAAAATGTGGAACAAGCTTCGCCAGGCCAGGTATGATCCTCAGGAGAGTGCTGTAATGCTCTATGAGCTTCGAAGCACTCTCGTCATCACTAAACACTTTGTAAGCACTGCATATATGCATATACAGTATATGCGCTCTGGAGTGCAGGAAATAAGTTATAATGTGGTAGACTCACAGATAAGGCCAGTCGGTGAGATCTCATGCATCCTTAGCTACACCATGACATGCTATGCTGACTTGCAGAGTCTGGAGAATGTCAATGAAAGGCCCCATGGCTCGAGGGATGAAATGGGCTGCATCACTCCATACGTCAAGCTTGCTCCTGTGTGGGACATTAGTACTGAACTCACAACAACAAATGAATTACTTGTCTGCCTTGCTATAGCGCATCTCACGGATGAGCTTCTCGAAATGCCTCGGCTCGATGCCATCATCCTCCTGCTCCTCGTCTTCCTGTTGATCATCTTCATCTTGCTGGTTATCTTGTCCAGTGCTGTGCGAACGTGACCTACATGGGACATCGTCATCGAAGAGATGTTCAACTAAGCGAGTGCTCATTTGTGGTCTAGTACAATCACGTCGAATGTCTTCCTCTTCATCGCTGTAGATTATTGCTCGTGCCTTCTTGAGTGGCAGACGATCGTCATGGAGCTGAGGCATGGGGTGCTTTTGCGATGCTTTTGCACCCTTTGAGTGATTTTTGGACTTGCTGGAATGCTTCGCTGCATGAGAAGAGTTGGCCATATATTGATGCCAAGGAGGCTTGGCTGAGATTGAGCTGAGAGATATTTCTCCAAGATAGAGAGTGAAATGAGATCACATCAGTGCCTGAACGCATTTATACTTCATTCCGGCATTTGCCATGAGCAGACTATATGCGCCTCTTAATGCACGCGTCACCCAGATTACTGAGCCCATCATGCAACACCTTTCTGCACTTGATATCGAGACAATTTCTGCTATGTCTGCTGTTCCAACTGCCATCACTGACCTTCAGCGAGTTTCATCCCGACTACACTTCGCACTGGGCAAGATCGGAACCTTTTCTAACATCATCACGAAGATTACTCGAGATGCTCACCGCCCAATTGCCCATCCTCACATTTGCTCAGCTTCATGCACTCTTATTCAGCTGGCCTCTGCCTCTATAATCCTTGCACTCTCTTTGGTTCGCCATGCAAAGGGCAATCTTGATACAAGCGAGTGCATTGGACGCTATCAGCACATCTTGCAGGACCTGGAAAGTGCCGTAGAAGATGTGGATAAACTGGAGTATGAGGCTGAGAGGGAAGGATATATTCCTATTCCAGAGGACTTTCTTTCCAGGCCAAGGTAAGCATTCATAATGAGTACTCAAGCGATTAGAAGTCTCATGGCAGTAGGAGCGATAACATCTGTATCTACAAAGAGTGTCAGTGTTCATGCCATCTCAAGCCATGCTCGATGCCTGGATTTCCACCTAGAAGTATATTCGGACCATCTGGCTTTGCAGGTCATGGGAGGCATGATCATCCGGTGGGCAAGATGTCAATGGAGGAGGCTGTCAAGTATTTGAAGTCCATTGACCATGTTTAATGCGTACATCTCATCTTACACTAGTGTTCTTTGTAATTACTGCTTGTAATTGTCTCATTGATCTCGCCTTATAGTACTGAATTTGACGATCACTTCACCTGCAAGCGAACTTAGCGCCTATGAGTAAGCGCCCATACACAACGAATTGTAGGGCGTTTACCGTCAATCGAAATCACTTCAAAAAGCTTTCAACCCTTTCATGTGGCATCCATCACTCTGTCAAAATCATTTATTTCGCTCCTGACAATGGACATCACCCACCATGTCCATGTCAAGGGCATTGGATGCGATCACGTGATCTAAGCCTCCACGTCGCGACACACATCTTGAAGTCATCAATTCAATTCTGAGCTCTCCGCTACTCACTCACTCCACTATTCATTCTCTTTGCTGCTTCATCCACATACTCTAGAAGCTGAGACGATGCCTAATTCTATCTGCTACACCTGCAATAAGGCCTGTAAAGATGTTCATGGACTCACACTGCACTACAAGGTCTGCAAAGCAATCAAGGCAGCTACTGTTGCCTCCGTAAAGAAGCGCATAGCAAAGAAGGAGGCAGACAGGGCATCCAAGGTTCCAAGGCTAGCAGATGTAGAGCAGGATAGAGTGGTAATGGAAGAGCAAGTGAACATTGTGAGTTATAGCTAAGATTGAAGTGTGAATCCTTAATGACCTTAGTAGCTGGATGAGCCTCCTTTGGAATTTCTTGAAGGCTCATCTACAGGAATAGTGTCTCATGAAGATCCACCCATTTCTCTCAGCCACAGTGGTCGCAGAAGATGTGCACCTTGTGCCTTTGAGGACTTTCTTTCATCCACCACACGCGGTCTACCAGCTCATATAGCACGACCTCCAACTGCTGCTCCTTCTCACCTGAAACAAACTCATGCTGTCACTGTGGAGGAGGTTCCCGATGAATCCGACATCTCACAGATGCCTCCAGTCACAGTACTTGAGCACGATATGAAGCCAAATGTGTTTGGTGTATTCCGTCGCTATGCATCCAAGCCGACCAGTATGGCTTGTGACATCACATCTCTCGATGACACTTGTGACTCTCCTCATCTGGCCAAGAACAAAGGCAAAGAGCGAGCACAAGAATGGTACCACCCCTTCCAAAACCCCACTATCACTCGTGTTGTCATGTGGGGGAACACAGGTTCCAACCTGAAGTCCAACAAAGAGCTCAATCAACTTGTGCATGATGTCATTCTGGCTGATGACTTTAATCCTGATGATCTTCATGGCTTTCGAGCTTTAAAAGAACTTTCTCGCTTGGATTCTACAGACTCCGGTGACAGTTTCTTCTCTGCTTCTGCAGGCTGGAGAAAGTACTCCATCAAGATACCCGTGCCAAAAGAGAAGGTCAAGCTACCTGAGGAAAATGCTCCTACATTCGAAGTGGGAGATATTTATATGCATCGTCTTGTCGATATCATTCGGGAGGTCTGTGAGGACCCTGATGAAAAGATGTACAACTGGCGGCCATTCAAGGAGTTCTGGCAATGTCCGAAGGATGACAGCTGCACTTCAAGAGGATCCTCAGTAGACCAGATGCCAGCTGAGACAGAGAATGTATGCATCTATAGTGAGCTCTACAATTCAGATGCGATGCTCGAGGAAGACGCAAAGATTCATGCACGACCTTGTGAACCTGGAGATCCAGATGACGTGGAGCCTGCTGTTGTTCCAATCATGCTGTGGTCAGATGCTACACGTCTTGCCAACTTTGACACGGCTTCTCTCTGGCCCATCTATGCTTACTTTGGCTTTCAGTCAAAGTATCAGCATGCCCAGCGACACTCGCGTTCATCACACCATCTTGCCTATATACCTAAAGTACATCGTACTTGTTTCTCATGTTGTCTGATTGAAAAAGCTTATCGTCACCTATAGTTACCTGATGACTTTCAAGACTGGTACGAGGAGACATATGGGGAGCCTGCAAGTGCAGATGTCCTTCGCTTTTGCAGACGTGAGCTGTATCATGTGATCTGGCTACTTCAGCTGGATCCTGAGTTCATGCATGCCTATGAACATGGAATTCTTCTTTGTTGTAGAGATGGAGTCCTTCATCGACTATTTCTGAGGTTTTTTACATATTCTGCAGATTATCCTGAGAAGTTAGTGATATAGGGTTTATTTTCATTATTTATTGTACTGACTTCTCACAAGGATACTTCTCGCATGCATCCGCTATCTTGCACAATGCCTGTGCCCACACTGTCTCATCAAGAAGGCTGACATTCCAGATATGGATTCACATATGGACATGCTCCGACGGGCAAAGTTTCGTGCAGATTCATACCCTGTACAGTACGATATTATGAAGACGCGACATTGGATATTCGAGAAGGGCTATGGCCCCAGAAGCAAACACATCGCAAACATCTTAGATCGCTACTTGTTGGTGCCAAGCAGGGTACATTTAATGCATGTCTATTATATGATCTTCGACATTGACTGTTTTATTATTTGTTCTAGAGCGCATTCTCTATTCATTTATCAGAGTTTGGATTCGACTTCTATCCAATGTTCGTAGTCGACCTCATGCATGAATTCGAGCTTGGTGTTTGGAAAGCGATCCTCACACATCTGCTGCAGATTTTCTATGCTGAGGGTAACAACACAATTCAGAGATTCAACAAGAGGCATGTATTGACTGTTCTCCACTGCTGACTGGCTTCTCACTTTTCACTAGGTTTTGCAAGGTTCCAATGTTTGGACGAGACACAGTTTGTTGCTTCGGCAACAATGTGTCAGGCTTGAAAAAGCTTGCTGCGTGTGACTATGAAGACATCCTTCAGGTATATTTCTCTCCATTCTGCACTCAGCAAGGCTCTAAATATGATTGTTTATGTTGCAGTGCATAATTCCAGTTATTGAAAAGCTCCTGCCAGCTCCTCACAATGAGATGATAATTGATGTTCTCTTTGAACTAGCTACATGGCATGCCCATGCGAAGCTCCGTTTATACACGTCAAAAAGTCTTCTGCTGTTTTGCCAGTCAACAAAATGTCTTGGTATGATTGTACGCCAGTTCCACGATACAACATGTGACACATATCACACCATGGAGCTGCCAAAAAAAGAGGCTGCACGTGGACGTCGAGAAGCTGCAATGAGTGCTAATGTGAAGTTGTCTGTGACTCGGAAGCAAAATGCAGCTGCATCGAGGGGTCCCAAAGTGAAGAAACTCAATCTGCAGACTTACAAGTGGCACGCACTGCCTGACTATCCACCAACCATCGAATGATATGGAACTACAGACAACTACACATCTCAAATCATATGTACCATCATTTTTTGCGTAATATTCAAATGAATGACATGGTTATCTAACTTGATAGGGTGAGGAGGAACATCGGACAGTCAAGACGGACTACGATAGGATGAACAAGAACAACGTCACAGGTCAGATAGCAAGATGGCAGCATCATAAGATGGCATTGCACCGAATCCAGCGAAGTGATGATAGACTATCTCACGAGAAGAAGAAGAAACTACTGTGAGCCAAGAAGAAGGTCAACTGCGATAACGAACAGAATTCCTCAGATTCAAGGAACAAAGGAAGTTCGCTAGGCACCGCTGGGCTATGTGGAGCAACACTCAATTTTGCAGTTGACGAGCCACTTTTTTTTACATCTCCTGAAGCACACTTTCACATTTCTGACTCACAGAGGTATTCCGAAGATATTACCTCATGGCTTCAATCAAACAGAAATGACCCTGCCTGCGCAGTAAGCATTTCATTCTAAATGCTGACATTTTCACAGAATTTCCTTCCGCTCCTCAAGGACCACATCCTTGGTCACTTGCGTGGACATCCATATGATGGCAATGAAAGAGGTTTTTCTCACCAGGATCACCACACGATGATCTTTGAGAAAAACTGAATGTATTTTCATAAGGTATTGTGAGTCAACTACACTACATATGATATGCGCTGCATGCAAGATTTCATCAATCCATGCACCCACCCAAATATTATGGTTGCTGCACACGAAGAAGACGACGATGATAATCCTGAGGCAAGCAAGCATCCATACTGGTATGCTCGCATCATCGGTATCTTCCATGTCAACGTAAGGCATACTGGACCATTCTGAACATCAGATGAAGTACAATGAATGGAGGTTCTCTGGGTTCGCTGGTACAGACGAGATGTTGATGCTCTAGGAGGCTTCGAGACATGGTGTCTGCATTGCATTGGGTCCATTGACAGCAGCGATCCTGACGCATTCGGGTTTCTCAATCCTGCGGTCATCATACAAGCTGCACACATCATCCCAGCATTCGCTTATAGAAGGACAGCAGACTTGCTACCAGCATCACCCTGTGCAAGACTGCCGGAGGAAGAAGATATGGACTATGAATTGTGAATATGTGAGTTGCTCATTTTCTATGCTATGATCTTTATTTTACTCGTCTGTTTTATCTGTTTGATAGGTTTGTTGATCATGACATGTTCATGCGCTATCTAGGCAGTGGTATAGAACACAAAGGTACTGTCGTGCACATACCTGTATGTCCCACAGAAGCATCTGATGAAGTTGAAGACAATGAAATGGATAGATCAACTGCGGGTTCCAATGATACATCGGCTATGCAAGATGACTCGGAGGGCCGCAGTGTTAGGGAAGAAGATGGGATGAAGGAGGAACTCGAAGATGAGGAGCTCGACTATGGCTATGTGCTTGATGAAGATGACGACGATGATGGTCTCGAGGCAGCGATAGTGGGAGACATTGAACCCGAAGATGGCGAGGACCTTGTGTTGGATGATGAGGATGACGATAATGATATCCCTTTTGCAGCACTATAGTAAGTAATCATTTCTTAGTGGCAGTTTGCTCTTTTTAGGACCTGATGGTAGTACATGTACTATGTCCTTGTGTGTTTGCACGAGAGTCACACTAGGCCAGTAAATCTTAATAATATTATCTTATGCTCGTAGTTTTATTCGCATCAGTACAAGGACATCTACACTGCTGAGACTATCTGAAAAGACTCTGGACATGATAGAGAACGAGTGAAAAACCCGATATATACCGTGCCATTATCTGTGGATACCTGTTGAATACTAGTCAGATAATGCCAGACAGAGTCAGGCAATGCATACCTGTCTGGAATAATTAGCCGGACACTATGAGACATTGCCTGACATTATCTGACATTGTCTGGCATTGCCATATTGCAGGGGGAATTGCCTATCTAAGTCTGTGTTATCGGCCCAGATCGGTGTTCGACATTTTTGCTGATGTTACATCACTCTGACTTGTGGTCTTCAGCCCGGGGATATAGTTTTCTGTGAAATGACCTGAAGTGATGCTCACACATACTGTTGATACGTACGATTTCATAGTTCAATAGAGAGCATGCTCCTGCTTTGGAATTCCCTGGCGAATCAATCGCTCGTGCAAAACTATGGTGCAGAGGTGTATTTCGCAAGAGACAGATGTGTCCACACAGTTTATGCAAGATATGTGTCAGGAGTATAGGCCGCTCTGCAGGCTTGCATACTTAAATTAACCCATTTTTGTGGCCGACAAATATTGAAACATGACACAGCGATGCTCAGGCTGTGGAACAATAGCTGATTAATTCAGTGAAAGACGTGGATAGCGCCACACATGCGTCGAGGTCACGTGGTCGTGATAGAGAGCTCTGGAGTGCCACATCCTCAATGTCGATGTCTTGGCAGGCACAGTTTGTGGAGGCCATGTGTACGTTGCCTTATCTCCACCGAGGACCGCTATGTGCGTCGTGGAGCTCTGGAGCTCTCTGAACAGCTGTCGATGGCCGGTCGCATTACTGAGTCGAGAGCAGTGCTCCATGCCGTCGAACTCCCTCACAAACACATGCCACGCCTCACACCATGGCCCTTCTGTGACACATGTGCAACAGATGATGGAGCACAGGACTGTTCACTCATGACAAGCACTTGTACTCAGACTGTCTTCTTTTAGAACAAGGTGAGGCCCGAGGGAGGCAACTATCCATAAGCGAAATACAGGAATTGAGTAATCTTGCATGATTGCTTTCACTAACTCTGACTGGGAAAATCCAAACATACAATCATGCATCTGTGGCATCTTTGGCACTTGCAGGTCAAACTACTCCGATTGTCTGCCTTAGTCATGTTCACCCTGCAACCTTCCTGTGAATGTAACGAGCGTAGCCTCAGTCGCGCCATACGTGGACGTACTTGACTCTGTATTGATTGTACTGTACCTGTGAATGTAATGAGCATAGCCTAGTACAGTACTGTAAGTCCTTGTTTATGCGAAGAGAAGCAGTGTCCATGACTTACCTCAGTTGTGCTGTACGTGGACGTACTCGACTGAGGTACTACTACCATGACGCATCACTCTGTACCTACGTGCTGATCATGTGTCCGTGCTGTCAAACCGGGCTCCCCATTCTCCCCATCTCCCTAGAGCGGCCGCACTCCAACACTCCTCCTAGGCCGCGATGCTGAAAGAATGAAAAAGAAATAAGAAATAAGAATAGAGGGGGAAAATAAAAGAGAGGAAGAATCTAAGCCATGAGACCAAGAAATTCGAGGTGCTTGAGAAGAGTTGGCTGAGGAAGGGCCTTGGTAAAAATATCGGCAGGGTTCTCGACTCCGGATATATGGTTGATCTCGATCTGCTTCTGTCGAACCGCTTCACGAAGCCAGTGGTATCGAACGTTGAGGTGTCGGACTCAAGTGAAGTTGACGGAGCATTTTGCCAGGCTCTTGCCACCCGCGATCCATCCTGAGGCTGACAGGGAGAGAAATAGGGACATAGATATCACCCATAAATTTCTCGATCCACATCGCCATCTGCCCTGCATGCATCGCCGTGATATACTCCACCTCAGTAGTGGATAGGGTGACCACATCCTGGCGACATGAGCTCCAGGTAACAGGACTGCCGGCCATCACCATGATGTGCCCCTGCATCGAATGTCCCATGTCTGCACAGTCAGAATAAGATGAGTCGGAGTAAATCAGAGGCTGGAGGGTGGCATGCGCATGGTCTGAACTGTAGTAGGTAATGCCATAATTGATGGTCCCTTTAATGTACTGAAGAACCCGCTTCAGCACACGCCAGTGGACGATCCCAGGGTTGGCCATGTAGCGACTCAGTAATTGCACGGGATAGGCCAGGTCCGGTCGAGTGGCGACTAACAGATACATAATGGCACCAAGAGCCTTGTGGTAAGGCACAGTTGCCATCTCGAGTGCCTCATCCGGCATCACCTGTGTGGATGCTTTAGTGAGCTTCATACCCAGTTTCAATGGTGTGGCCATGGGGTTTGAGTCCTGCATATTGAAACGTGCTAGCACACATTGTGCGTATGCTCTCTGGGTAAGTCGCAAGGTACCATTAGCCCAATCACGTTCAATCGCCACCCCAAGCATGTACTTCAACTCTCTGCCTCCGCTGAGCTTGTACTGTGCCGCCAAATCCCCACGTGTAACTGCAAGACCTGAAGCGTTATTGGAGGCTGACGTCACATCATCAGTGTAAGTGGCCGTAATGGAGAGCCCATCATCGTCAATCTAAGCATGCACACATTCATCTGCCCGAGAACGTGAGAACCTGAGGTCAGAGTAGGTGGAGTCCAGATCTTTCCACCACTCATTCTAGACTGCATGACTCCATAGAGTGCCCAGTCCAAAGCACACACCCAGTCGGGATACTCTGTATCTTCATAGCCTGGAGGTTGCTCCATGAAGACATCTTCAGATAAGGAGGCATTTAGGTATGCCTTCTCCACGTCATCCTGACCCATCTCCATTCCCCGGTAGGTAGCCAGTGTGCAAACGACTCAGAGAGATTCGAAGCGCACGATGGAAGCATGCGTCTCGAAATAATCTACCCCCGCAATCTGATGGAATCCCTTCGCGACGAGGTGAGCCTTTGGTTTCCACTTGCCACCCTCGTTGAACTTCTGCGCGAATGCCCACTTGCATCCGATGATGTTCATGTCAGCCTTTTGTGAGACTAATCTCCATGCTCTGATCTTTCGCAAGCCTGACATCTCCTTCTCCATCGCAGGCTGCCAGATATTGGCAGCAGTCATGGCCTGCTTGACAGTACTAGGGCACAGCCTCCCCTCATGGATAAACTCGTCAGGATTGACCGGCACGTCAGAAGATGCAATAAAGGCAATGTACGCTTCAGTTGCATGAGGTGCATCGTTAGCCCAGGACTCTCCCTGTGCCCGAGCTTCATCCTCGTGCTGAACAGCCTCCTTTGACTCTCGCAATGCACGGCTTTCCACTGGCATCCTACCCGATTGCTGCAGCGGAACAGGTTGCTGCATCTCAGGGGGTGTCAGAGGCAATGCTGGTGGCAGAGGTGCGAATGGCTGCAGTGTGGCTGGTGAGGACACAGGGGCTGCCACCGGTGGTAGAGGTCACTCAAGGGTCACATCGTCCACAGTTCGGTGAGATGCACTTTCTTCAAAAATAACATCACGAGACCGCACAATCGCCCCCGAGTACCCGCTGTCAGATCCCAGAGACGGTAGTTGGCATCATCAGTGTAACTGACAAGATGGCATTGATGAGATTTGGGGTCCAATTTCGTGCGTAGGTCACCGGTAACCTTCACCCATGCTTTCGAACTAAAGATGCGTAAATGAGCAATGTTGGGTAGGCGACCATACCAGCCTTCATAAGAAGTATGGCCCTCTTGACGTGCAAATGGAACTAGCGACTTCAGATATGCGCTTGTGTGGAAGGCTTCAGCCCAGAGGTAATTCGGGAGGCCAGAATCGTAAAGCATGGCTCTTGCATGATCAGCAAGTGTACGATGCCCCTGCTCGCTGACTCCATTCTCCTGAGGGGTATATGGCACAGTCGGCTCGGAGACGATGTAGATATGCAGTCCACACGTCGTTCGCAAATTCGGTGCCATTGTCGAAACATACTTTATGGAGCTTCTTGCCGGTCTGATGCTCGGCCATATGATGGAACACCTGAAAACACCGAAGTGTGTCCTCCTTGGTCTTGTTGACCAGAGGATAGACTGTAGTAAACGACGATGCACCGTCGTCGATTGTCATTAAGTATCATGCGCCGCCGAGCGAGGACACCGGGAATGGTCCCATGAGATCGATGTATACGTGCTCTAAGAGCTGTGTCTCTACCTCCGAAGAATGGAATGAAGCATGTGCCTGCTTGCCTTTGATGCAATCCTTGCATCTACTGACCGGTTTGCCCCTGTTAACAACCATCCCGATGACCAGTGCGCTCCTCTTCATCTCCTCTGCAGTCTGCTCACTGACGTGTCCCAGGCGACGATGCCAAGTGGTCACATCTGCAGCGGAATTCAGTCTGGGTACAGCCAAAGCACGAGGATCGTAGGTGAGTAAGGCTCGAGGGAGACGTGGTAGGATCTTCGGATCGACCTTCTTGAGCGCAACTTCATACAGGTCTCCAGAGGTGAGCGTACCAACAAGAATTGGACGTGATGATGGGCCACAGATGGTCAGCTTACCGTGCTCCCCTGTGTATGTACAGCCAGCATGATCAAGTCACGACATGGAAATCAAGTTCGCCACCAACTCTGGAGCATGGATCGCATTCTGAAATGTCATGACAGACTTCCTTCCATCAATCACGACCTGCACTGTGACATTTCTGATCCCCACAACACGGAATGAAGATCCTTTCTTCACACCATTACCCATGGTCAGAGCAAGCGGCATGTATTCGGTAAAATAGGCATGGTCAGTAAAATAATGATGTGTGGCTCCCGTGTCAGTGAAAGCGAAGAATTGAGATGACCCACTGTCTGTAGTAGAGGGGACCAGATTGGCTATGTTAGCACTGGTAAGAAAGATATGATAATCATAGCTGGATGGCACCTGAGTGTCTTCCTCAATGCCATAGTCAGACGCTGTGACAGTTGTGAGATGCGCCTGCAGCACAATGATGCTGGAGGACGCCTTGCTAGTGAGAGCGCGCTCAGCTGGAGACCCCTTGTTAGGATGCAGAAGTGTCTTCCAAGTCACGGGTTGCTGCCCTGGCTGTCCCCCTCCCTCGCAGTAACAATCAGCCTTCTGGTGTCCACGCCATCCGCACCATTCACAAATAATGATGGCCTTTGCACGTGTCATAAATGCGCTCATCGTACTGAGTGACGACACCGCGTTCCCGCCCATCGGATCGAGGGCGCCACCTGACTGTATGTGCTCACTCTTGAACACAGCGAGAATAGAATCCATGATGATTTCGGAGTCAGTCTGGAGAAGGAGCGAAGTGGTGAGTAACTTGATGGAGGAAAGTGCCTTCATTGAGTGACATATGATGATGGCAAATCGCGCGTCAGTAATCAAGGACCCGAGATCACGAGTGGTGCACAGACAGTGTCGCAGTTTGGTAAAGTGGTCCTGGAGGTCTGTCCCTTCTGCCCAAATGCACGCTTTAAGATAATCCTCGGTGTTCGTCATCGTCAGCTCGTTCTTACGCTCTCTCTTCGACACCAATGCCTCCCACACC